TGGACAAAAATAAATTAAATCAAATTTAATTGAAAGAGAAATTCTCTTATTGTGGCCTGTAAAAATAGAGAAACTTGGAGAGGGAAAGAGAAAACTATATTATTATAAATTAATTCTTCTATATCCAATACATTCGGCGATTACCAAGAGTTAGAAAAATGTCCTCCGTTCAGTGTTGTCTTGGACAAAAATTGCACGTAGAAATAAATTAAATCAAATTTAATTGAAAGAGAAATTCTCTTATGGCGGCTTGTAAAAAATAGAGAAACTTGGAGAGGGAAAGAAAAAACTATATTATTATAAATTAATTCTCCTATATCCAATACATTCGGCGATTACCAAGAGTTAAAAAATGTCCTCCGTTCAGTGTTGTCTTGGACAAAAATTGCACGTAGAAATAAATTAAATCAAATTTAATTGAAAGAGAAATTCTCTTATGGCGGCCTGTAAAAAATAGAGAAACTTGGAGAGGGAAAGAGAAAACTATATTATTATAAATTAATTCTCTTATATCCTTTGCAGCTCGATATCTTTGAAATGTTTTTTATATATTGTCAATTAAGAAAATAATTATCCACGTGCATTTAAATTATATATATATATATATATATATATATATATATATATATATATATATATATATATATCATCAGCAAACTGTTAAAAACAAATTTACTAAATATTTGTGAAGAAATATTTGTTATTCTATCCCAAAATTTTCATCCTTTATGCTTTGTGATACAAAATACTTTATATATTTATTAACAGTACCAATATAATTTTACACAACTGTTTCCGCAGTTGCACAATCGCATATATTTTATAACTATTTAGGTGTGTCCAAATAAAAATTATTAATTATACTATGTAAAAAAAAATTATTATTGCATTAATAGAAATTTACATAAAAATGAGAAAAGGAAGAAGCTTGCAAAGATTCTAAAAAAAGGAGAGTAAAAAGAAATTGAAATAAAAATTCAAGAAGAGAATATATTTAAAGAGATTAGAAAGCATATGTAAATATCAAGTGAATGTGTAAATAAAGAAATAAGTAAAAATAAAGAATGCATGTTTTATACCATGATATCATCGTTCCAGAAATAGCTTTCTCTCCTATCTTTTCTTAAGATAGATTGAATATATAACTTTATTTCTATATAGAAAGTTCGAAGATACACAGATATAACTAAATCAAATTCTATACTCACATAAACATATAACATCAATGATCATATATGGTATATAGTTTTCATTAGTTAATGATCATTAATATATAGTTTTTTATTATAATTTAATAATTTTCTATAATTATATACTTTTTCTTTCTCTCCCTCTCTCTTTTTCTGAAAATAATAATGCTGAAAGATATCAGTTTTCTGAATGAAATCGATGAAAGCTACGTATGTATTTCACAGACGAAATGTTATAAAGTTCGATCGAAATATGATACATAAAAATACATACAATCAAGACTATAGCTCCTCACGTTCTCACGTCTTTTGGCAAATAGGTACTGTATCTCAATCACGAAATATTAAGACTGTAGGGTCAAGGGGTTAACGGCAGCTTAAGTAACTGCTGTTGCCAAAACGATCACGCGCTTCGCGCAAAAGTGGATTACCGACACACGTCGGAATATCAAGTTGTCGACGCAAATAGCGGACTATTTGGTTCCATAGTTTTCGACTCGCTATCTCGCCATGTAATAATATCGATGGCGAACGTTATATTAATCCGCGCCTACGTCTCGAAGAGAGATAAGATTAAATTTATTGCTCCCTTCTCTCTCCTCAAGCTCGAAAGCCAATGAAATCGTCCCGCGAACCTCGTCCGCGCTGGATAATCTGAATGAGATTCGGCGAGAAGGTACTTCGGCGGCGTTAAGTGATGCACGTCAGTCGGGAAGTCTAACTTTAGGACCCGTTAGTGTCTGGAGAGCTTTCTAATCGCGTTACCGTCCATGTACCTCGCCTCACCTGTTCCTTCACTACGACACCTGCGTCCTCGCGCGAGCAGGTAACTTAAGACGCATATGAGGGACGGGCAATTCGACGAGGAAACTGTGACAGGTAGCTTCCTCAACGTGCTCGCAAGATCATGTAAATTTGTCTCGCGCAGAGGAAGAACGGTTTTCCTTAGAGAGTATTCCACAAAAATAATTATATTTTATTACATAAATAATCTTTGGAATATACAGTGTCGAATATTGCTCTACAAATTACGTGATAATAAGTAACGATAATATATATATAATAAAATTTTCTCTTTTAATGCACATTATAATTTAATAATGTGTTAATTTTTAGATTTGATTGATGTAATATTTAGGCACTAATCTTGTACAGTATTTGATTGATGCAATATTTCATTGTGTCGCGCAGAGGAAGAACGGTTTTTTTTTAGAGAGTATTCCACAAAAATAATTATTATTTTATCACATAAATAATCTTTGGAATATACAGTGTCGAATATTGCTCTACAAATTACGTGATAATAAGTAACGATAATATATATAATAAAATTTTCTCTTTTAATGCACATTATAATTTAATAATGTGTTAATTTTTAGATTTGATTGATGTAATATTTAGACACTAATCTTGTACAGTATATTTGATTGATGCAATATTTCATTGTGTCGCGCAGAGGAAGAACGGTTTTCCTTAGAGAGTATTCCACAAAAATAATTATATTTTATCACATAAATAATCTTTGGAATATACAGTGTCGAATATTGCTCTACAAATTACGTGATAATAAGTAACGATAATATATATAATAAAATTTTCTCTTTTAATGCACATTATAATTTAATAATGTGTTAATTTTTAGATCTGATTGATGTAATATTTAGACATTAATCTTGTACAGTATTTGATTGATGCAATATTTCATTGTGTCGCGCAGAGGAAGAACGGTTTTTTTTAGAGAGTATTCCACAAAAATAATTATTATTTTATCACATAAATAATCTTTGGAATATACAGTGTCGAATATTGCTCTACAAATTACGTGATAATAAGTAACGATAATATATATAATAAAATTTTCTCTTTTAATGCACATTATAATTTAATAATGTGTTAATTTTTAGATTTGATTGATGTAATATTTAGACACTAATCTTGTACAGTATATTTGATTGATGCAATATTTCATTGTGTCGCGCAGAGGAAGAACGGTTTTCCTTAGAGAATATTCCACAAAAATAATTATTATTTTATCACATAAATAATCTTTGGAATATACAGTGTCGAATATTGCTCTACAAATTACGTGATAATAAGTAACGATAATATATATATAATAAAATTTTCTCTTTTAATGCACATTATAATTTAATAATGTGTTAATTTCTAGATTTTATTGATGTAATATTTAGGCACTAATCTTGTACAGTATTTGATTGATGCAATATTTCATTGTGTCGCACAGAGGAAGAACGGTTTTTTTTTAGAGAGTATTCCACAAAAATAATTATTATTTTATCACATAAATAATCTTTGAAATATACATTGTCAAATATTGCTCTACAAATTACGTGATAATAAGTAACGATAATATATATAATAAAATTTTCTCTTTTAATGCACATTATAATTTAATAACGTGTTAATTTTTAGATTTGATTGATGTAATATTTAGGCACTAATCTTGTACAGTATTTGATTGATGCAATATTTCATTGTGTCGCGCAGAGGAAGAACGGTTTTTTTTAGAGTATTTCACAAAAATAATTATTATTTTATCACATAAATAATCTTTAGAATATACAGTGTCGCATAATGCTCTACAAATTACGTGATAATAAGTAACAATAATATATATAATAAAATTTTCTCTTTTAATGCACATTATAATTTAATAATGTGTTAATTTTTAGATTTGATTGATGTAATATTTAGGCACTAATCTTGTACAGTATTTGATTGATGCAATATTTCATTGTGTCTAGTGTTAAATACAGCTGCGTAACTTTATATTCAGTTTTATGTCAAATATCGACATGAATGGAAATTGAAGTATATTTAAGTATATTTAATAGTTTTAAAAATTGATAGAAATATTTAATTTTTCCAGCAAATTTTCGTTCAAGAAAAATAAACGTCCAAAGAGAACAGCATTATTATGAATAATTGTTTAGTAATTTGGCAAAATATTTGAAATATATTAAAAAGATATATCTTTATTTATGCGATGAATTTGCATGCATAATAATTCCAAAATGATGTAAATTGAATTGTGTAAAATGATTGATTTTTATGGACAGTTGTTACAAGAAAATTTAGTATGTTTATCTCTTTTAAACAACTGTAATTTTGGGGGAAATTACCCTCATACATAAAAGATACATCTCAATTTGCAAGCCCGAATTGCGCAGTGATCGAATTTCCGAGAATTACCATGTAAATAAAATCGTGTAAAACAAGAGGAATTGTTTTACAAAAAGATCACTAATTGCCATTTAATATAATTTTTTTTTCTATCGATAGCAGTAAAAATTTTGGAAAATATATCGTAATTTTGCGTACGAGGAACGATTTTTACAATAATATTTGTACTATTCCTAAGTCGTTCATCTTTCGTTCATGATAATCCGTCAAGCGTATTAGACAGCATAATCCATCAGCTCGCGACCTGTAGGTAGCCGTGAAAACGAAAATGGAGTCTGTAATGTAATTACACTACACTCCTTCGGCTAACTCACCCTCAACTTTCCGCCCTCTCTTTGTGCGAATAAAGCAAACTGCGCGATATACAATGCAAAAATTATATATAAACCGAAAAAGGGACGTACCTCTCTCTCTCTTTCGCAACATAATTGTGATAAATATATATGTGGATCAATTCGTATTGATCGTATTTCATTGTCTTGGAGTTTTTACAAGAAACCTTACATTTTACCATCATACAAAAAAAGTTTCGTAGAATTTAATTAAGAATTTAATGTAGAGTTTCACATGAAAGAGGGATCGCGCAAAAACGAAAAATGCACTTACTTGTACTCTGGCTTCCGTCAGATCGATCTTCATAGCGATTTCCTCTCTGGTGTAGATATCTGGGTAATGCGTTTCCTGGAATGCACGTTCCAGTTCTTTCAGCTGGGCTGACGTAAATGTTGTTCGTATCCGACGTTGTTTTCTCTTCTCCGCGAGACCATCATGCCCTGAATAAGCTTTATATCCCAGACCACCTGAAATTAAAAATATGCGAAATATTAGTAAAAATAGAAATGATGGCCCTATAATAATAATAATATGCAATTTTGAATAAAATGTGATACTTTTTTTGCAATGCAATGGCAAGAATAATAATGCAATAATAATCGAAATAATTTTAAAAACACGATGCTTGTCTTAATTGTTGATAAGTATTAAAAGATAATTCTTGTGTGTGTATATATTATATAAAAACAACCGCAAACAAACAGTAAAATATTAATAGTCTGCAAAATAATAATAGCATCATAACAATAGTAAATGCTACATTTATACTGGAAACATAATTCATTATGAACACACACAATTTAAAAATAAATTGTACATATTACTATAATATAATTATAAATTATCAGTAAAATAAAATAAAAGAAATTAATTTCCTGCAATAACATTTATCAGAGAAAAAAAACATACGTACAGTATGTATCTCTTTATTGTTTTATAAACATGTTAAATGTTAAAAATGTTTAACTTGTAACTAAAAGAATTATTTTTTTTCCTTTACAAATAAATAACTTAATTTCCAAACTCCATCGAATAATCATGTTAGAGATATATCCGTAAAAGACATTGCTCAATTAATGTCATCTCTGATAGCCTTATGACTGTTTCGTTTTGATAACTATTTATAACTCCAGGTTCCTTCATAAAACGTTAATTTAAGCATGACAGATACTATGTTGCATAATCTATTTGTATGGCATTCTTGCGTGTACCATGTCGAAACAACACATATGTGATGTTAAATTCAATCGGGATCAATTATCAACTAGAGAGAGCGAAGGGAGCTTAGTTCCCCGCTCATGTGTGACATGTTTAGTCCCTTCTAAATCGTCGGAACAAACACAACAAAGCGTAGCACATTCATAGCCCGACGGATTGACGTGAGAATAAAGGAGCTCTTGTTAAGCTAGTCGGAATTACAAATGCAATATTATTTATTTATTAATATACGAGAATATGTTGTGTGATAATAATATATTAATATTAATACACAACACAATTATGTTTTATGTATTAGCTATTTTGTTGACTTGAGTCATTTAGATTGTCACAAAAATCTTAAGTAACAAAAATTTTGATATAAATATACAATAATATAAATTATATTCAAAAATTTAACAAGATATATAATTTTTATATAATTGGATTAATGTATGCAGATATTTGTTCTTCATATAATTATGATAATAATGAGCTTTTTCACATTATGACATTTTTCCCAATCAAGATGAATAATTTTGCATAATGGCACTGACGTTAGATGCAACAAAAATACATCTGTCGCTTAATTAATACATGAAATGTTCTTCTCAAAATTTAAGTAAATTATCAGTACAAACATCGAAAATTCTATTCCTCTTTGCTGTATGACATTTTAATAATAAATCTTCTGAATTTTTAAAATTTAATTTTTTCTTTAAAAAAACTAGGAAATATTACAATTTCATTTTCAGAAAAATATATTTAATTAAATGTCGAATTAAAAGTTTGATAAGATAAAGCTTTTTAAAATTGAATACACACAACTCCAATATCTATTTGCACAGAGTCAGATTTTATTACAAAAATAATTTTTTTAATTTTAGTTACTCGTAATTCAATAGATTATTGATATTTTATTAAAGAAAAGTCAATTCTAACTTTAGACAAAGAATGAATCATTAAAATTTGATGCTTAATAGAATCGCTTGTCTACAGTAAAAAATAGCCATATATTAAATCATAAAATGAAAGTAGTGAGACTCAAAAATAAATCACACATTCTTTCAAGAATTAAATTTTCGACAAATTACGTAAAATTTTTAAAGGGAAGATTTAGATTGTGTATCAACAATTGAGTACCACCATAATCCACGAAAATTAATTTGGACAAAGAATGTTTTATTAAAATTTGACGCTGAATAGAGTCGCTTGTCTACAGGAAAAAATAGCCATATGTTAAGTCATAAAATAAAAGTAGTGAGACTCAAAAACAAATCGGACATTCTCTTAAGAATTAAGTCTTCGACAAATTACATCAATTTTTTAGGGGATGATTTTGATTCTGTATCAACAATCGAGTACTATCATTATCCACGAAAATTAATTTGAGCAAAGAATTAAAATTTGATGTTTAATAAAATCGCCTATCTACAGGCAAAAATAGTCATATATTAAAACATAAAATAAAAGTAGTGAGAATCAAAAGTAAATCGGACAGTCTCTTAAGAAAAATTTGCTTGTTTATAAGAAAAAATAGCCATATATTAAATCATAAAATAAAAGTAGTGTAACTCAAAAACAAACTGGACATTCTCTCAAGAATTAAATCTTCGACAAATTATCTAAAATTTTTAGGAGAATTTTGATTCTGTATGAACAATCAAGTACTATCATAATCCACAAAAATTAATTTGAGCAAAGAATGTTTCATTAAAATTTTACGCTTAATAGAATTACTTATCTACAGGAAAAATAGCCATATATTAAAGATTAAATAATAAAATAAAATAGTGAGACTCAAAAATAAATCGGACATTCTTAAGAATCAAATCTTCGACAAATTAGCTAAAATTTTTAAAGGGAGAATTTAGATTGTGTATCAACAATTGAGTACCACCATAATCCACGAAAATTAATTTAGGCAAAGAACGTTTCATTAAAATTTGACGCTTAATAGAATCGCTAATCTACAGGGAAAAAATATCCATAAATTAAAGATTAAATCATAAAATAAAGTAGTAAGAGTCAAAAATAAATCGGACAGTCTTAAGAATCAAATCTTCGACAAATTACCTAAAATTTTTAGGGAGAGGATTTTGATTCTGTACGAACAATCGAATACCATCATAATCCACCAAAACTATAATTTGGGCAAAGAACGTTTCATTAAAATTTGACACTTAATAGAATCGCTACTCTACAAGGAAAAAATAGCCATAAATTAAAGATTAAATCATAAAATAAAGTAGTGAGAGTCAAAAATAAATCAGACATTTTCTTAAGAATCAAATCTTGAACAATCGAGTACCATATCGTAATCCGCGAAAAATAAATAGGCAATTGAAAAGCAATTTGGCTCACTCACTCTGAAGATTGATAGCCGAGGGGAAGATGGAGGCGGCGTGCCGGTGGACTTCCTGGGACCTGGCGGCCATGACGGAGCACGGGGTCGAGTGGGCCCCGTGGTGGCCGTGGGTGTGGGAGTGCGCTGTGTGATGGGCCGTAAGCGGTGTACCGCCGCCGGCGGCGCCGGCGGCGGCCGCGTTTCCGGGATAGCCGGCGGCCCGTGCCGCGGTGTAGCGATAAGCCGCCTGGCTCATCTGCGAGCACGAACTCAGATCGCCGTAGCTGCATTGCATCTCGCCGGCGGCCAGGGCGCAGCTGGACGCCTCGAAGCCGGCGGCCGCCGCGGCCGCGGCCTGGTTCAGATACGAGTAGTCCATGGATGATGTATAGAGAAATCGAACCCACTTGACTTTTACTCCACTACTTCGTCGTCCGGGAGAGAAAACGGGAAGAAAGAGGAAATTCCCTTAATAAAAATCTGCGTCGCGACGCGCACAGAAAGAGATCTACCGCATTTGACGATCCGTCCCCGGGATAGAGGGATGAATAATGTCTCTCGCGTAAACGAACTCTTTAGGGGGAAAAAAAAATAAAAAAAAAATAGAAAACACTCGTTGCGAGAGAGATGTGACGATGATGGAGCAAGAGATCCTACGCGGATTGATCCGGGGACCCCCACGTTGATCGCGCGCGATTTCCTGGGCCCTTTTGGGTAAGTCCCGGGATAGACGCGAAAGGGTAGAAGCGGCACACGCCGCTCTCTCGTCGGCGACGCGTTCAGCGAGAACCGGGCCGGGGCCGCCGGCTGGGCTCCTCGATAGCGGCTTATGACGCGTAATCGGATCAGCGATATCAAATTATTGCGATTACACCGCGGATAGGAAGAAGTTTTTCGGCCCGCTTAAGAGCGCCCCGTACGACCGACTGGTGGGTCTCCTCAAAATCAAATGATAAGCTTAATTCAATAACCCGGCGGTACCGTGGGGTAGGAAACGTGGGTGTGGCCGCGGTTGTTCCCGCGAGGGTTGCGTTTCACCGGGGGTGCTCGCACCCGAGGCAGCTGATTCGTCGACGGTCGAGCCATCCCCGTTACGCGAACGGGGGTTGAAACGCCGCCCAGAAACATCTCGGCAACGCCGACTTTCATCCCTCCCGAGGTTTCCGCTAGGGGCCACCCCCGGGTTTAGGGTTTAGCAGGCCAGACGGCCCTCTCTACCCCAAACGGCCATCAGCCCGAATGAGTGCTATCATTCGATGACGCGCCCCTCTTCGGCCACCCCACCCTCGAGGCTTTTACGATCGATTTCGCGCGGAGACATCGGCGACGGAGGAACGCCGCCGTGTCCCGGCTCCTGGCCGCTCCAGTGGACACGAGGAGCCTGCAGGAGGCCACGTCGCGTCCTGTAGAGGAGTCCTGTTTACACCTGCGTGCGTTGCGGTGCCGTGCGAAAGACGGATATGTCACACACGATTTTTTCGCGTCGTGCGACGACGCCGAGGCGCCTCTTCATCGCGAGAAATTTTTAGATCACACCGAGCAATTGGCTCGTTCCTTAAGTTTCGCTCGTGTATACAAAAATCAGTCTATTTTTATATACTTGGATTTTATTAATAATTGCCATCGCACTCGTTTTCTCGGTTATTACTTTAAATTGCAATCGTAAATGGATTTTTGTAGTCTTCATTCATTCCGATATTACTTGAATTGAAAAATATAATGTAATAATGAAAATTAGGAAATCAGTTTACGAATGCTCTTTTTTTTAAATTTATATAAAGAAGATTTAATTCATAAGATATCAAAATATTCCAGAAGATGACTTGATGTATGAATGTATGAATTCAGAAGATGGCAATTAATATTTGAATTAAATCTGTATTAAAAGAATGATTTTTATATATTTAATGAAACTGTTAAAAGCGAACCGTCATTTTCCTGTAATTGAATAATTTTTATTACAAATTAGAGCAGATATAATTTTGATGAAATAAATCATTGCTCTGCTTTTCAAATATTATTTCTTTGTACAAGCAAAATGCTAGATTCAATCATTTCGACTACATGGAAAACTAAAATTGCTAAAATTATATTGATTTCGTTATTCAGTGATGAAAATTGTGAGAGAAAAGAAATCAAATCTCTCATTAGAAAAATCGATCTCTTTTTACACGTAAAGTGAAAAATTATTTATGTAAACAGCTTCCAATATGTTTGACTGTCCTAATATTTGTGTTTTAATGTTAAACTTTTTATCAATAATTTTTGCAATTTATTATTACAGCTCACATAATCGGATTTAAACGCGAAAATTACAACAATGCAAGAAATGTCAATAAATATCAATAAATAAATTATATTTTTTAAAGAATACGTATATCACGCATATAAAATTAATATTTTGTATCCACAATAAATTTATAAATAAACTAAATAGAATCATCTATACGCAAAATGTCTAGACGACTCTGTATCTTGTTGAAAATTTATTTGCTCGCTAAACAATTTCTAATCGTTATTGGAATACGATGTATAATTATTGTATATATTAGAATAATATATTAGAACAGTTATACATGTTGGAAACTGTTCATAAAAATAATTTTGCACTTTACGTCTAAAAAGAGATCGCTTTTTCTAATGAGATTTCTCTTTTCTTATATTCATCACTATAAATAATGAAATCGATATAATTTTAGCAAGTTTTTCTATGCAGTCGAAATAAATTTGGCATTTTGCCAAAAATTTTGTTCATTCGCTGCAACAATGACATAACTCGAAAAAGGACAATTTTTGAATTACTTCATTATTGCAGAAATAAATAAGCGATATATCTTTTCATTAGAAAACATGATTGATCAATTTATTATTTATTAATCGATCATATATTTTAATAAATAGAAATATGCAACAGCTTGAAATATATTACAATTCAAAAATATTTAAAGTATCATTACACTATTTAGTATAAATTTTATACAACATATGATAATATTTGTTATCAATCTTAAACAGCATATAATTATATGAATGAAAGAAATTTTACAATGAAATATTTCCATTGTAATATTGCAATCAATGCGCACCAAATTACATTTAAATTCATTTTTTTTTTAATCGATTTCCTTATAATCTCTGTAATCTAACTTTAAAAACTATTTTCCAATATCATTATTTTCAAATTTTAATTTCACAGAAACTTGAAATTACTTTTAATTAAAGTATGTAATATCGAAAAATAAAAAGTTACACAGCAAAGGATGTTTTCATTCGATTTCTACGAAAAAAAAAAAAATATAATCCAAAAGTCAATAAAAAAATAGTGCGCTCTCAAATCAAATCGAAATCTAAATTCGTCAAGTAAATTTCAAATGAATTAAAAAGTAACCCAATAATTTTGGAGATACGAATTGCATATTTTTTGAGGCAAAAGATAAGACTTACCCAAACGAATGGAAATTTCTCAGGGTGCGAGCGAACCCTGCAGGGGTGCGAGAAGGTATGATTTATTCCAAACCTAGAGGAACAATTTACGGGAGACTGGTACGCATCGGCCGACCGACTCCTCGGCTGTGCGACATTCGTTTTGCACTTGTTCTCACGAGAGAGGATGCCAGGATGAGAAGCGGCAGAGTCGCGATGTGTTCCACCCTCTTTCCCGAGTCTTATCCCAAGGGAATCCCGTTCCCGGCATGCGGAACGTGTGTCGCACGCTGCCATCTCGCTGGGCGATCACGCGTATACACCATCAAACGTCACATAGGCGTATCATTTTAAATCAATTCCGATAAACAAAATGTCAGATATAGATATAAAAGTAAACCAGTACTTAACAAACAATATAACATGCTAATCTGACAAATTCGCAATTTAAAAAAATAGTTGACATATAAAATCAATATTACAATCTCGAATTAAATACAGTTTGCATGCAAATTATAAAATCAGAAAAATATCTCTTTTTTAAGCTCTGAATTTTAGAAAATAAAATTAATAATATTCATGTAATAAGAATCTCGATCAATATTTTTATGTAAATTATGTAATTATAAGAGATATATTTTTTACCCATCTTTTTTCGATTATACAAATTATTGAAATTAAGAATAAAAATAATATTATAAATTTTAATATTTTTTCCAATTTGAAGAAAATGCAAGGATTACTTCCACAGAGGATTACGCCACTGTTTGCTGAGGAAACGACACGTACATGAAATGTGTGTATGTCTTTGATATACACGAACGTGTCGGTCTCCCCTTAGTGGCCTAGTAGATACATATGTCCTTGATTTGTCCGGAGAATAATATTCTCCTGCAAAGTTGATTAAATATTGGTTAGTGATCTCGGACACCCTTCGCGGCCTTGCATCGCCTTTTTGGCCCCGAGGACCCGCAGGAATACAATTTAATATTTCCACGCCCGAAAACAGCGGGTGCATGATCATTTTTCTTTCATGTGAGCGAGTATATCAGAAATTGGCGATGTTTCCGAATCTCTGAGGGAAATCTATAAAGAGCATTTTGGGTTCAAGTAGTATAAGTCAAGCTTATCGCATCTTAAAACGCTTCGAGTCTGACAATAGAACATGAATGAAATAAAAAATATTGGCATATATTTATCCTGTTTAAATTTTCATGCGCTATATAAATATGTTATAGTAGTTATATAATACTAAAAATAAAAAATTTTCTATAAATGTCTCAGATTTCGAAAACAAATCCAATTTTTCTTAAATCAAGAAAATTATATTTTTATAAATACATATATGGTAAATGTATTTAAATAAAAATTACGTTAAGTATTATTGATTACTTCGTTAATAAATTCAATATAATATAATATCGCTTGATTAAAATATATACATATAAATTAAAATATTGACAAAAATAGTATTTTTGAATTAACAATCTTAAAATGTTAATAATTTCAAATATTTTCCAATTATTTTCATTAAATCTGATAATTACTTAATGTTATTAATGTTATTATTCTTATTATTCTTATTGTTTCGCCGAGGATAAGAACATATATGTAATTTTCGATTATTTTTTTATAAACTTTATTATAAAATATTGCATTGTATTATAGCCTTATCGATGTCCATCATGTTGCATAAAAATATAAGCAAGCCGTTTTTTTGGGACATCTACTACTTCTTTTTTTTACAAATATTTTTTACGCAATATAATTTATTTTAAACTATTTACATATGTATATATTTATATTCAATTTTTTTGAAAACGCTGTATAACGTTTTTCATGAATATCATATGAAAATCCAATACCACAATTGTTGTACATAATTACAATATAAATATAATGAAAAATGAATTTTTTTACAGGACGAATTTGATGTTAACAATAATTTCAGCAAAAATATTTTTTATCAAATAAAAGTTTCTTTACTTAGAGCTTTACTCTTATCTTAATGCGATTTATATTCCAGTCTTCAAATGCAAAAAATTTTACATCTCTAATCATACAGCCTATTTTAGTATTAGCTAAAAGTTAAATGGCTTATTCTTTGACAAATTAATATTGATTTATTTTACTAATCAGAATATGAGAAGTTTGTTTTTTGATATACTTCACATACCTAAATATATATATATATCTTGCTTTTTTAACAAATATTTTTATTTCTAAAATTTAATAAAATATTTATAAAGTTTGAATATTTAATAGATTTATATTAAAAAGTTATAATTATTTTTTTCGGCGAGATACGTCATCAAATTACTGTTAACTAAAAATCGACTTTGAATTAATCTATGTCGTTTTATTTTGTATAGTCATACTATGGGCGTTTTATATGTATATCTAATGCATATTCCTAATTAAAAAACTATTTAAATATAATTACCCACTCAAAATATTACATAAATTTACTTATGGATATATAAAAATAATTGGATCGGCTATAATTTGTGCGGTGTATTAAACAAATACAAACGTAATATTCTAAACGTAAAGTTAATCTGTTGTAATTTTATTATAAATAAAAATTCTTTTCTAATTTGTATTGTAATTTAAAAGCCTGTGTTGCTTTCATGTTCAAAACGATACAAAACATGTAGGTATTTTGTCATATAAAATATACTATAATAATTTACTGTACTTATATGATTCCAAGCTTTCGAATATTATTTTACTCGATACATTGAAAGCTGAATGATATATATGTATGTTATATGCATTACTGATCATAACTTTGTTGTTACTTCGTCTTTTCTTTTTAATTAGATTTCGTCTACTTTCTATACTTGATTAATAAACAGTTTAAACAGTTTATAGCTGATCCAGCTAATTTTCTTACATCCGTGAATCTATTTATGCAAACTTTTCGTAAATATATTTATTGATATTCCTACTTATATCTTCTTCTAATTTTAACGACATACTTTTCGTATTATTTTGTACATTGTTATTTCAAAAACTTCTAATCTTTGTAACCTGAGTCATTCATAAGATACAACTGCATTTGCATGCCTAATGTTCAAGGATTCGTCATTTAACGATTTTTTTCACAATAGTTAGTATTGGTTACAATACAATTGGTTAGTAAATATAATTCTTTAACTAATATATATTAAATTCTAATCTTTTATATATAAACAAAAAGATATTTTTTTATTTTGTTAATAAAATAATTTTCAAGTTATTTTTTTTATATATACTGAAATAAATAAATTTGAACATTTTACTTAATTAATTTCTGGAGCTTTCCAGGCTTACTGACATTTGTTTAGCTTTTTTCCTCCTTTTCTCCTTCTCTATTTTTTTTTACCATAATATTACGCTAGGCAGTTAATTTAATTTAATTACCTTTTGGCGGCTAAAAACTGCGATTAATCAAAGTGGAAGAAAAATCAGAAAGACAAAGGCAATGAAAGAGCCAATAGACATGATCGGCGATCCTCGTTACATGTTCGGATAAATTGCGTAATACGGGTTCTTGAACTGTTTCGAATTGTACACACTCGGATCCTCCACGGCGAACGGCTGAATCACGTTGGCGGGCACGGTTTTCTGATTGTGCACATTCGCCACCATGTATTGTGGCGTGGGTACGACTTGACCCACCGTCGCCTCCTCTACCAGCTTCCTCTGGGAGTAGATCAGCAGCTGGGGCATAGGCGCGTCGTTGTTCTGCTGCAGCGTGTTGTCCGGCACAGTCACCGCAAATGCGGCCGTCGTCGAATTGGACAACTGCTGCGCCTTGCACTTCTTCGTGTGGGCGTATAAGGAGCCGGCATTGTTGTAGCTTTTGGTGCAGAGCTTGCACACGTACGGCCGCTGACCGGTGTGCGTGTACGTGTGCTCGTTCAGCGAGGTCAGTCGTCGGAAGGACTTGGTGCAGACGTTGCAATGGTACTTGGCCTCGCCGGTGTGCATGGTGATGTGTCGAGCCAGGGTGTTGGCTCGAGCGAACGCTCTGCTACAGTATTGGCAGATGTAGGGTTTCTCACCGCTGTGGGTCCTCAAGTGCAGTTGCAAGTAGGTGCTTTTGGTGAAGGCACGCTTGCACGTGTCACACACATACGGCTTGACGCCAGTGTGCGTGCGCATATGCGCCACCAGCGAGCCGCTCTGGGCGAAGCACTTGCTGCACTTCTCGCAGAGAAACCGTTTCTGCGTGTCCTTCACTCGCTTGTGCCTCTCCACGTGGTTCGCCAGAGACTGAGCCTGCGCGAACGCCTTCGGACAGAGCGCACATTTGTGCGGCCTATTGTGTCGGTCCTGTAAAAATTTAATTATTAGATATTGATATAATTATTTATTTCATTATTCAAAATTTATTAAATATATTTATTAGATATTTAATATATTTAATGTATTTAATATTTATTAAATAATAAAATATAATAAATTTATTAATTAAATAAATTAATAAAATAAATTAAATAATTTTTATTATTAAACACATGTGGAGAGATTACTTCAATACAACGATAAAATAAATGTACAAAATTCATAAATAATATTATGGAGATAAACATACCTTCTTCCGACTCTCCGAATTTTCGTTGACTTTGTTCTCATTATCCTCATCGTCATCATCCTCGTCGTCAGTGTTGCCGAATATTTCCTCCTTATGCTTCGATTGTTCGTGATCCTTTAGCTTGTCAACCCTTGAAAATCCTTTCCCGCAGGTCGAACAATTGAATTTCAAGCCGCTATGAGTCGAGATGTGCCTCTTCAGGTTCCTCTTTGTGGCGAAGACCTTACCGCACTGAGTGCATTGTAAACTTTTGATTGGTAGATTGGTGTCGTCGTCGTCGTCGTCCTCTTCTTCCTCTTCCTCCTCGGAGTCATTTTCTCTGATCGTTGGCGTCCTTTCCTTTTGCTCGCTCGTTGTCTTATTCGCACACTGATCGAATGCGTCAGTCGAAGTCTCCTCATTGTATTCAGGATGACTTTTGGCGTGAGATACAAAAGACTTTTGATATATGAATTGCTTCGAGCAAACTTTGCATGTGAATTTGAAGTTCTTCTTCTCCTCTTTCGTGCCATCCAACACGTTGCCGCTTCTAGTAACTTTTGCCGATGTTTTAACTTTCTTATCTTCATTAGCCGCTTGCGTCATTTTATCATCCACCGTATAACTTTCATGACTGTTAAGCACGTGGCTCTTTAATTTGGAAATGCTCGAGAACTGTTTGTCACATACATGACATACATAACGCAGTTTCGTCTTATGTTTATGTTTGTGTTTGTGCACGAGCATGTGTCGTTGCAACGACATTTTCGTCGAAAACGATGTTGAGCAAAGGGAACATCTGAAATGTCTGGCTGTCCTACTTATCAGTGGTTTCTCTTCATCATCACTGCAGTTCATGTTTTTCGTTGGATTTTGGGGCTCCATTTCTAACATCGTAGTCTCTTTCGGAACATCATGATTATTGAAATCCTCCATGGACACATCGTTCTTAATTTCCATTTTCAATGCATCCTCTCCATTTTCGTCCGCTAAACTTCCTGGGGTCTCCTCAGATAATATTAAATGTTCCTGCTTGATGCATCTGTCATCCGTGATCGAATCAGACAATCGATTCGACTGATCGGTAAACGAATCGTCCATGTGTGTCTCGTCACATAAGGCTATTTCAGTATTATGTACACTTTCTTTGAGCATATCATACTGTGTATCTTTTCCGTTTGGCTCTGTAATTTCCTCCGTCTTCTCCAGAAATTCGTTATGAATGCAAGATTCGTTGTTTATTATTGCATCGGACTGAATGGTAGTACTATCGAATGAAACAATATCGTGGTGCGTATAAATTTTCTGTCCCATGACATGATTATCCTTTTCACAGGAGGCTACATCAGATAGATTTGTAATTATATGTTTCACTATTGTTGTATCATCCTTCGCGTGTTCGTCGTGCAGATCCTGCGACTTCAGGATCTGCCGTAGTTTCATATCGGCTTCTTGAATCTGACATTTAAAGTCATAGGATATGTCGAGGAGACGATTGCAAGATAAACAAATACAAGCTGGAAGACCATCTCCCTCTTCCACCTGCAAATTGCAAAAGTTAGTTTAATCGTGTAACGATATTATTAAAAAGTATATGTATATATGCGACAACAACATTAACGATTGATGACAAGAACAGTGATATTCATCTGCTTACAAAGCAACGTGTTGGGATGACAGATGAGAATAATATTGCTCGCGATGACAGATCGGGACGAAGATACGTACTTGAAAGTGAAGAAACAAGTGAAAACTAACAATATTATTAAAAATATCATATGCGACAACAATACATATTAGCAATTGATGAAAAGTGATATCGTCTGCCCTCGAAATAATTTAACGTGTCGGGATGACAGATGAGAATAATATTGCTCGCGATAACAAATCAGGACGAAGATACGTACTTGAAGGTGCGATTTGGAATAAGAAGTAAGCGAAAACTAACCTGCACGGCGGCGATAGCCATCAGCTTCTCCGGTATCCTGGAGTCGCGGAAGAGCTGACAGATCTCCGTGCATGACTTGAGACAGATGCGGCACTCGTCGCCCACGATTCGCTCCGCGTGAGCCACGTTATTCATCATCACGTCATCGTTCGAAACTGCCATTGATACGGAGGAGTAATCTACTCCGCGAGAGAAACAATAATATACAGAGTACAGAGCCAGTCCCTACGTGCCACTACGCGGCCGCCATTTGCTCTGACGTGTGATCGACCTCGAGTTTCGATAGATCGATCGAGATCGATACAGACTAATTTAAAAATTACCGCGAAAAACAGAGATCGAACGAAGTTGATTTTCAACTCTGTTTTTGAAATTAATTTAGCAACAAGAATTATACATAGGTACAATTAAATTATCGCATGCATACATAGAAGTACATACCCCGATTATATATTTTACATATAGATAAATACGAAGTTAAAAAAAGAAATTCTTATTTTTGTTATCTATATCGATAGCTTTAATTTTCTTATTTCAAAATCAAGTATGCAGAGATCTGAATAAAATTATTTTAATTACATTTACAGAGTATCTACATACAAAAGAAACATAATGTTAATAAATTAAACTTTTCATTATCATTAAAATAAATCTGCTGTAATAGATATTAACATGGAATACTGGATATTAAAAGTAGAAACTAATATAATACTATTAATGTAATCAAATAAAGCTTTTGCATTCCATATTCTTATTTTAGAAAAATGTATTCCATATATCATAGTAAGCTAAGACCACATAACATTATGCTTTACTTTTATTCAGATATTTATATACACATAGATTTTATTTATTCGTACATTATACAGCTGTGCCTTACAAGGTATCATAAGATAATATTCATATACAGAGTACCCTGTAATTGTTATTATACAATCGAGCAAGGGTATTAAATTTAGATTTAAAAGTTGACATCATAAAATGAAATGCTTTCATGTGAGGCTTAGTTACTGAAAATTTCAATTTTGCAAAATTTTGGAAAATTAATGATCCTTTCTCTTCATTAAATTTGAATAATTTTTATATTGAATTATTGAATTTATTTCACCAAAATATGAATTAATAATAATAAAAAATTTTACAAATTTAGAAAATAAAGATGGAAGAGCTTAATATACATTTTTACATATAATTTCCAGAAACTTTGATCATTTTTAATTATTTTCAAAAAGGTGTTACCCCAGTTATACAGGACCCTGTATATATATATTTATATACACAATAATTTTCTCGCACTATGCTAAGTAATTGTACAACATCAGTCTTTAACGAAACGCTCGCTTCTCGTGAATACACGAAACTTTCTCTCGCTTTCTCTCTTTATCTCCCTCATTTCTCTTTACATTTTGTCGTCTCTTGTCTCAAACTTCGTTAGAAAAATTCGTCGTTTAATTCCAATAATGACTCTCTATCTAGTATCTGTACACACTTTACAACTTGGCATCTGATTCTATTATTTTATAATCCTTTTAAGAGATGGATGATATTCTTATATAATGACTAATAACCTGGCACTTAGTATTTGCATTCCTTGCACATTTACAATTAACAACAGTATAATGAAATCTCAACAAGATATTAACAGTTAATATATCAATCACATGAGTCGTTCTAGAAGTCGCATATTTTTCTTAAATAATTCAAATTAATCATACAATTAATTATTGAATGAGACAACTCATTTGTCATCAGCTTTTTTTATAATCATATTAAGTTTATCATATAATTATATTTTCACTAAAATTTCTCAAATTAATATCAAACAAAAGTAAAAATTTAATTTTTGTTTGCCATCTTTCTCTATTTATGCGATTTATAGAACAGCACATATAAACTCTATAAACATTGCATAATTTATCATGTTGTTTAATTGCTAAGCGCCAAGCTCCACTGATAATAGGTAAAATAAAATCACAGCTTTTTTCTTTACGTATAGAGAAAGATTTTCCTAAATAATTAGTGAATTATACGCATTAATTATCATAATTTAGAACATAATTTTTGAGTCTTTATCAACATTGATATAAACAAAGTATCGATTGATCGAGTGTAAGCATAAGTATACAGTTTCAGAAAATAATATATAGTATAAATTTTTTAACACTATGCAACTGTGTGCGCAGAACATATATCGAGTTTAACTCTAAAATATTATAAAATGATATAAAATGTTAATTTTATATTTTAATCTTAGAGAATTAGTCATTGTGTGCAGAAACAATATCATATATTGATAATTAATAAAAATATAATAGCACGCATTTGGAAATATGATATTATTATAATATTAAGTTTACTATTGAAAATTGTTTAAACATTTTAGAGATTAAAATTTAAAATCTCTAAAATAAAATTAATTATTTTATTATGTTTCAACAAGAAAAAAAATAGAAAAAATTCCTAGTAAAAATAAACTGAGTGAATTAAGAGAAATTGTCTTTTAGTATTTTTACAGTACTTGCTCCAAATAAAATGGAAAAATTGACGTTTCATTTTTATACCTCCTACCCAATAATTTTTCTTAAAGTTAACAAATCCGTTTTTTCTTAGTACCTTATTTTAAAACTAATCGCATATACCTCAGGATAGTTCAAAAAATGAATTGTGACAAATATAAAAATTGTTTCATTTATCTGATAACAGATCTGTAAGAGATGTACGCTAAATATATCTATTTCATGTTCTTGTAATACTTTTTTAGCTCTTTTTAAAGATCATGTAACATACGATGTTATATAACTAACTAATTTAATATATGAATGCTCATAAACGTACATCTACGGCCTATAATTCAATATGTACATAACGTCGCTTTCTACATAAATAAAATAGAACAGCCTATATATAACATACGCTAACTCTCTGATAATTATTCTAACATTAATATTGTTGCTTTTGTCTACGAGCAAATTTGACAAAATATACGTTGCTTTATTAAGATATAATTTCGTCTTATCGCATACTAGCGAAATAATCAGCAAGGAAAACCACAAGATAAAAATTTGATAAAATTGAATTATTAAAGTATATGAAAAAATGTAGTAAAATTGTAATATAAAGAAAATATGTACCAAACAAAATGTGTTACTACATAAAATGAAATTATATCAATAATTTATGAAGTTGTTTTAAAAAGTGTATAGAATTATTTTATTTCAGAGAAATCTAAAACATAATTATTTAAGCTCTCCTATCTCTCTTTCTCTGCCTGTATGCGTGCGTGTGTTATGTGTATGTGTATACACAATTATATACTTCTGTTATGAGTAATTGCAAAGTTGTTAAAGCATTATTGAAAAGATTTGAGTTTTCAGATTTTTGCAGCGAAATAAAATTTAGAGACATAAGATTTCTTCACATAATAATTTCATATAATTAATGTTGTTGTACAGCAAATATAAACCGAAGAAATTATTAATTTTCATATAACAACATTCAACATCTGTTGAATACTTCTTGTAAATACAATTTTCACACACACACACACATTTAATTTTTGAACTTAATAATCTATTTATTATTAATTGTGTGATCATTATAATATAAAGTACATATACAGATCATATATTTCGGAAATAATTTTTAAATGTAGGTATTATTTTTGGTTTCTTGCAGTATATAAATTATAATAATTTATATAATTTTTTATATTTTTGTTAATCATTATCTGATATAACATTGTTCAAAAAGTAAAACATAGAACAAAAACAATTAGTAAAATCTAATCAAAAATATACATAGAATTCAATATTGAAATACTTATCACAATGTTATAAACGCGCAATACAAATCTTACTAAAGCTCTAAAGTGGAAGTATGTCGAAGCTTTCAAGAAGTGAAGTCTATTATTTGCAAGATCAGAACTAGGTAAGATAATTCGTTTCTAATGAAAACATAAAGATCAAACATTTAAAGTGACTTGAACACGTCTAGCATAATTCGTAAAATCAGAAACTGCGATTATATTCGTTACTCCTATTGAGCTGCATAATAACAAGTGTTCTGCAGTTTTGCATCACCTTTTTCATTTCTAATTTTATAAGTTATAAACAAAAAAATGTGAAGGGATAATACGGGATGAAAATAAATCTATAAATTGTGAAATAGAGAATAAGCAAAACTCGTCACAGAGACTTAAAATTTACAGTGACTATTAACATCACACATTATAAATTCAGACTCTGGAGTTCGACTTTTATAGCAAAAAATAACCTTATTTCGAATAAATCCGAGCACAAGCCTTTTTTTTCCGCATTCATATGCATCCATGAGTTCGCAAGAAGCAAAGTCTCAGCTTCCTAATGTCTACACGACATTATGAAACAATATCTGCTTTCTCTAACTTCATGCCTCTCTTTCATTTCCTGCAAGATACACTGGGTCCATGTTCGGGTACGTACGTGTGTTACCTGAAAGGAGGAAGGACTACTTTTTGCTATACTTTTCAGAGCACAGAGTGCAATCAATGCGCCGGTACCTTTTTGAGTACCCCAGGATTATGACATCGAGCATGTTTCTCCAACGTCTAGCTGCTCCCTTGTTGCGTCTAGATGTACGATTAGATTTTAGGATGGTACTCCGAATATATGCGCGATATTCGCCTACTCGCAGAAGGGAAACGATTGGTGGGACGGCCCTTTACTCAGGGGCCGTAAGCAAATCCTAGGCCAGCTCTCTTTTCGTTTTAGCCTCATTGTAGAATTCCGATGCCGCGTCGGTACTGGACGTCGTCACCGTAACGGGCCGGAAATGTCGGGTCAGCACATAAACTACCGCCTCGTACGTTGCCATTATGATGGCAGTATTTGGAATCTGCCGAATCAGCTGGGTACCAAGGCCGCGATAGAGACCTCTCGTACCCTCCTCCGTCCATACGGTGCTCAGAGTTTGCCAAAATGTCCGATACTTGGTACCTTCCTCTCGTAATCGTGTCCTTGCGACCTCTGAAAAAGATACGAGATTTTATATCCATTTTTAATTGTACGTATCTAACATTTAAATCCGTAAAAATTTACTTATAATTATTATTTATTATGTTACTATATTAATATATTAATTATGTAACTATTATATTTATTAATTATTGTATAATGCTAATTTAAAATTTTATCTTTAGATCAGAGTAATTTTTATATAATCCTCCTCAATTTTTTAAATTAAAATTTACATAATTACAATACAATGTATAACGGAAACAGATTCTTATATCAGAATTCTGTGACAACACAATATGGTTTTGTTGTACGAATAATAAAAGTACATTCAAAACGCAAATAATGTAAATAATAATAAAATTGATGTCCTATTGTATAATGCAACGATCCAAATGGTCTCTTCTCTGAATATATTTTGCTGGAAAAGGTATGTAAATCTGTGTATAATAATTATACTAATTTGCAATATCATTCCGAAACACGAATGAAGCATGATAGATGTGGATGAGCATTATTTTATGCAAACAAAATGTCGAAATGTCACGAACAAATTCGTATGCAAAGCGTAATTGCATATCGAGTGTTTGGCACGCGTTGCGTGCACAGATAGCTCGTGTTATCTTTAGAACTCGGAATATTTTCTCTGCAAGGCATTGATGTAGAAAAAGAAATTATATATTATTCTTCTCAATGAAATCAAAGCTTCTCCAGCTTTGCTTTGCGACTTATCTGCATTAAGATATTAATCGTTAATAATTCTGAAAGGTGATAATAGCACAGATAAATGCATCACTTTTTTTTCAAACTTATTCCACGTATAATTTCAAATAATCAACAGATAAGAATTCTCTTCATTTATATAAAATAAAAAATTATTAAATGTTAATTGAAATGAGCTTCTACTAAAGTTGCTGTTCGAATAGTGATATCAGCATATTGGATCGGTAAATAAAATTAGTAAATACACAAAACGGAAAGTTAAACAAATTTAATTAATTCATGCGGACTAGTATATTGATAGTTATAAATAAATTATTCTTACCGTGAGGATAGGCAACGCATGACGCTATCGTTTTCGAAAACGATCCCGCTGCCATAAATTCGATGAAGTCACGGAACGTCTTTCTATCGTCTGCTTGCGAAGCTCGTGATCTGTGCGTGGCTAGCCATGCTTTCACCGCTTCATATATCACAAAGTGTATCACAGTCTCACTTATGCCTACGTAGGACGCCACGATACCTTTATAGAATCCAAGAATACCCTGAGAAACACAACCAAAACATATTATGTATATATATTTATAAAGTCCTATTGTATCTAATTTTTTTCAAAATTGCATCAACATGTGTAATCGTCAAATAAATATTTTATAAGTTTTCAAATTTGTGCAATAACAATGAATTAATAAATTACAATTAATAAATTAATAGTTTATAATAACTCTGCTCTTGTTCTATATTTAAAAAAAATTAATTTAGATACTAAATAATTAAACTAACAAAATTGTTCAAGTACAAATTTTTAAATATTTTATACATATAGCATATAGTTCATTTAATATGATTAATTAATATTAATAATTTATAAGAATTAGATATATATTATGTAAATAGGATAATTGTACAAAGATGACTATGCATTTACTAGTAAAAAAAATCATGGTAAGATTCACAATTTTCTTACATGGTATCTTCGAGCAATGGAATAATAATGATACGATCAAAATGACACGTTTTATCAGTAATGTTAAACTTGAACTTTTCCCAAAAAAGCGAACATGTGATACCTGCGTGTTCAATATAGCATTAAATCGAGCATTCATATCTGGGTGATAAGAAAGTTAAAAATATTTGAGATGCTGCTCATATTTTTGCTGAAAACAGATCGATGTTGATATTGAACTTCATGATAATTAATGATAGATAAAACAACGAAATTTCGAATGTAATATCTATCAATTAACCAATAAGCTAATATAATACAAAATAAGTTAATTATAATCTTATCATGTCCCAATTTAGAATCGTGAAATGTGCGATTTATTCATGTGTGCACTACAATGATTTAAATTAATTTACATGTTTACATGTTTGATAAATTTATATATTTTTAAATTTTAATTTTTAATTTCGTGTAGTCCATTTTTAATCCTTTTACTTCGATTAATGTATCAACTTTAATTTTACACGTGAAGTCGACACAATAATGTACGAAGATGATGAAATGAAATAGGAAATGTGGAGATCTATTGACTACACGAGCGTGTGTTACTTAACATATTTTTTAAGATATTTTTACACAGATGTACCTATTCGTAGATCATGGCGCTAGTTTTAAAACTGGCTCAATTCCGAGATGCCGAGTGTGATTTCAGTACACGTATGTATGTACTGTGCAGTCACTCATTCCAAATAAACAATCTCGAATTAACACACGATGCTTAACTGGCAAGCAAATATTTGTTTATATGTTAAAATATTTTACGTCAAGACAAAATTTTTTATTATTTCATTTCTTTTTCTACGAGAAACAATAAATATATTTACTTTATCATATGTGTGTTAAATTAGAAATTGTTTTTATATAGCTTAATCTTCCTCTCCAGGGATTAGTTAAATATCATTTCTTTATTTCGTAATAACTTTTTTACATAGAATATATTTGCTATATTAATTAAATATTCAATGTTTATATATTTGGCACTAAATAAAATAAGTTCGAGATCTACATAAAACAATAGATCAAATAATCTAGAATTTAGAAAATATCCAAGATTATATCAATATTAAGTAATAATTTTAGTTTTCATTCAGAAGTGCACCTCGCAAATTTGAAGCTATATACTGATTTCTTCAATCCTAAGAAACTTTCAATACATTTGATGTATTGAAAACTGATTACATCAGTTCTATATTCGACAAAGTTACTTCGTTCGAACAAACATCATTATATATACATATGTACCTGCATCGTCGCGACACTCGCGACGATCAAGAAAATAATCTTGGCTGCAACTAACATTCGTTAAATATCTATCTAACGACATCCTTGCAACATCATTGCTAATTTCGTGCACTTCTCTATATCGCTTAATATTTATTTTAATTTCTTTTATCGTGTATTATATATACAATTATTTCATCGAGTTATGCGACGTAATTCCAGAATGACCTCGCGAAACCGATCGATGCTGAGAAGTTGTACCACTTTTTACTAAAGAAAGAAAATGTGGAAAAGGAAGGAAGATAATTGGTTCTAGAAAAATTCAAGTAACAGATGTAGGATGTCTTTAAAAAAAGTCAAAAATCAAACAAATCCAAAATTTAATCTTCCTGTTAAATGTTAATTATTAAAAAAGTAATGTGTGTGTATTTGTATAACATTTAACTTTCTTTAATTATTTTTTAAACTATCATCTTATATCAATATACTTAAAATTTTCATATTTTATATGAAACTGTGCTATGCTACATTGAGATTAAATATGCCTATATAGTTATCATTTAGATAACTGACATTTTATTTTGCTTTTAATTAAAATCCTCCACCCTCTCTCTAGTTTTTTTAAATAGCTATTTTTATATTATGTAACTTATTTTTTTTTTATTTCTTAAGCATTATAAATTATAAAAGAAATTTTCCTTTTTCGCACCGCTTTCTTTTTGCAGTAAAATTTATTCTGAGTTGCAAGATGTTTAGATAATAGAGAAAGATCAAAGAACAATAGTATATTTAAGAGTTAAGGAATGCATGAATATAAAAATTATATAATATATACGGGATAATCGGTATGCGATACGATACGTTTTATCGAATTTTTCAGACTTTTAATCGCGAAACAAAAAATAAAGATCTATTGTCTTACCGATGTTTGATATATCCTCCGCATGCATTCTATTGCTGTGACTTTTTGTGATCGGTGGTCCAGCTGTAGTCTGGTTTTTACAAACCAAATCGGATTTGTCAATGTACACGCGGTGAAACCTGCAAAGTGAATGACCGTTTATTGAATCCGCAGGATGCTTTGTAATGCGAATGGATCACTATGCCTTATTTTCCCAATAGATCATTAATTCAATTAGATTAATTAGAATAGCAATTTATTATTACAAAAATTAAATCTTATTTAATATACATAAATATAAAATATATAAAAAACAAAATATTAATTCTTGACGTTTTCTACGAGTGTATATTGAGAAAATCGACATGTGTTTATGAGATTTATATAATTTTTTGAGAATATTTAAACGTGAATATTTTTGAGAAAATACAATTTTCCAAATGCTTATAAAAAAAAAATTTATATGGTTAAAATCATTTCTTTTAAATTAATTTTGTCCGTAACAATAATACTATGTGAGAAAGATTTAAATATAATTTATATATATTATATGTTACGCTTTTTTAGCTTATTTAATTTTCACACAAAATAAATTTAAATCCTACTACTAAAATATCGAACTGAAAAGTCTCTTTCTCTCTCTTCTTACAATTTTACTACAATATTATTTTTTATATTATTTTGCCCTCTTTCTCTCTCTCTCTCTCTCTCAAACTTCTTTGATAATAATGTGAGAGAAAGTACTTCTTGAAAGAATGCAGTATATTTTTAAGTTTCATCATAAAAAATTTCTCTTTAATAATACCCTCCTCAAAAAAAAAATTCATTCTTTAAAAATATAATATGCAATAAAAAAATTAAAATAAAATTTAGCATTTACAAAATTTAATTAGCATTGGAAACTTTAGTATGTATGTATATATTCTTATAGAATTCTAATCATTTTTTTATATAATTGAAAAATTACAATTGATCTTTCTTTATTGTTAATATCTCTTTCCTTGGTTACTTGTATATAAAAGAATAATTTTTTAATTACTTTTCATACGCGTAGCGAGCTTTGTTGCTTATATTGCATAAGAAGTCATATTGTATAGAAGATATGCTGTTTTCATTAACCCGATTTTGTGGAAGATTATCAGGGCATCGCACTGTTTGTGCTGCAGCACCGAAGACATGTGGATAATTCATGAAACTTGTCTGACAATAAGTTACGTAATCAAGAATACTATGTACGCATCGTATAACATGCACTTCATTCTGTGCATGTGATGACTTGTTTACATTTTACTTACTTCTTTTATGCTATCTGAAGTTACGTTCAATGAAATTCAAAATTTAATTTTGTGTTGAAAAAATCAAGAAATCAAAATCGAGAGAACGTAGAAAATTGATATCATCGTTGATTACGCAATCTCTCTCGTATAAAAATATTCTGAGATACCAATTTCGCAGAGAAATAATTTACAAGCGATTGTTAGAAAAAGCTTGAAAAAAGTTATTAAAAATGTTTGTTACAGAAAAGCTGGAAAAAAATTTTTTTATCCGGAAAATTGGATCGCAAATTTGTTGGCGTGCATTTCATTCAAAGTAAATGCGACTATTTCACAAGTATACAATTATATTCAATTTCATGTTACATTTCTCACTCGAATACTGATTTACTGACGCATTTAAAAATAAACCGATTATTTCACAAATATAAAATATTCTATTGCAATTTCATGCTACATATCTCATACAAATACGTGAATACGATATAATCTATAATATTTAAAACAGTAAAATTATAAATAATAAAAACAAAACAATAAAAAAGGAAAAATCATACTACGTAATAAAATTGCATTGAAAAAAAACGTTGTAGAGAAATATGTTTTATAATTTTTTTTAATGATTATGTTTAAATATTTATATATGTTTTGCATCTTTAATAATCAATTATATAATTAAAAAAAAATCAATTCATGATTGTCAAGAAAACATGATTATTAATCACACAAACTTTAATTTCTTCAATAATATAATAAATGTTTCGTGATATTATAATATCTTATATTAATATGAGAATTCAAGTGCATTCGAGTTTACATGTAACATAAACAATTGTTAATATTTAAAAGAAAAATAAATTGTAATTATTATATATATATATATATTAATCCTCTCGCAATTATTAGACTTCATTTTAAAATAATACACGGAGAAAATTTTCTCTTAAAATTTATTCTGAAAATCATGATACCGTGATGGAACAATGTTATTGGAACGAATTTTATAAAAGTTTCTCTAATTAATATTTTATATCTTATTGTGATAGATTATTAATATTTTTTACTAATTATTAAAATTTTTCCATAATATCCCACGATTACCATGATTTTCGAAGTAAATTTTAACAAAAAATTTTCTTCGTGTATATTTAATTATTTTTTAATAATTTACTTTATAGATATTCGAGAGCATTAGACTGCTGTTTACAACTTTATACCCAATTTGTTTATAAATTTTATAAACAAATTGGGTTCTTAGATATTAACTGTTGGAATTTTTGGAATTTAAGATATATTTTATCGGTTTGTTTACGCGCTATCTAAAAAAACAATAAAAAAATTGTAAGAGGAAAGTGTGTAAAAAAATGCGATGTCCTCGGTATGCGACGTATCGAGTTTCCACGGTGCTATTTACAATCATAATCGAATAATTCTCGCTGCGAAAAAACAACGCGCCGAAAAAACATGCACGAGAGCCGATCTCTATTACTGATCGTGCATTATCGTCAATCGTGATGCAATTCCGGTTGCACCGTTGCGGTGCACGAGTCTTCGCCGATAGAGCTATTGTCGCTTTACGTTCGACCGCAAAGCGTGTGGAAGGCCGGGCATTGAATTACGTGGTGAGGATGGCTAAAAATACCAACACGCTGTCGGAGAGGCACTCTCTCGTTCGTCGGCGAAGCGGCGCGACAGACGGAAAGAGGCGAGCGAGAGGGAAGGGAAAGACAGAGACGAGAAAAAAGGGAAGAGAAAGAAGGAAGAACGTCTTGAATACATCTGTGGGCGTGACTTCCTAAATTCACAAAAAAAAAAAAAAAAACTCAAGGGCGTAGAAGATCGATATTATGCGTATAATAATTCTCTCTTTAAATGCGAGATTAATCGTACCTATATTAAATTAAAAATAAATTTTGTAAATTATGTCATTCTTATACACAGTGTTTCATTTACAGAGAAATATACAACTTGTACATACATATATGTATATGTTTTAATTGATATTTTACAGAAATATATTTTTGTGAATGAACTGAAAATAAATAATGTGATAAATTTGTTTGAAAGAAATTAATTAAAATTAAATATTTTTATTTAAAATTATTCAAAGTTATAAATCTTCAAAATTAGATATCTTTAACTGTTTTTATGAATTTGATTCATATACATATAATTAAGGTAATGGTTGTAATTAAAATCGCTGGCAATGTAAAAAAAATATATTACTCTGTACGATCTGCTTTGTAGAAATTAAATGCAAATGTGATCGTTTGAGGCAATCTTTATCGTTTGTTTACGTTGATTTCCGGTTAAATGTTATATCATAATGGGTATCACGTATAAGCATTCAAATTTTAATCGCTAAACAGGAATCCAATGAACGACGATGACAGTGTCGAAATCAACAGATTAAATAACATCTTGGCGCCGATAAATGCGCATTTTGTTAAAAAATTCAGCAAAAATGCGTCATTCTAGCAATGACTTTAAGAATAAAGAAAGAATGTAAGACAGAGATGTATTGTATATTTTCGATTAAATATATCAAGTTTAATTTAATAAAAAAATTAATTAAATTATTTGAAAAAGTGTAATATATATAAAAAGCTAAATATTGATATAAGCATATCTATTCAAATTTTAAATGAATAATGAAATTTAATTATTAGTGATTTAATTATTAATGACACGTGATATCTTTTGTAAGAACTTGATTATGTATTCTATAAGATATAAATAAAAATTTTCAATATTATTAGAACGATAATCAACAATATTAAATGGATAAAAATTATAGATTAAAAGTATTTATAATATATTTGCATTTTTTCAGTAATAGCATAATATTTTCTAAAATAAAAAATATCCTAATATTTTCATAATTGTACGTTTTTAAAAAGTTATACATTTTAATAAATTATATTGCGTCCTTTTTTATAGCTCTCTATTACTATCTGTGAAACGCACCAATTTAATATGATCCGATTTTATCTCGATCTATTTTCAGACTAATTTAAGCCTATTGAAGAAAACTGTTTGTAGGAGAGCTACGTTACATGAGCTATCAAAGACAAACACTGACTGAATTATTAGTAGTCCTGGACCGATTAAAATTGATCTGAAGACATATACTCGCATGATTTTATATGCTGCTTTATGTATTTGTCTTTATAAATATCACGTACATGTGTGTAATATAGGATTATATTCACAGCCAAGGCAAATCTATATTGCTTCGCACAGATGCGAGATGTGAATGATATACAAATGACATTCAATCGTCAATGAAGTAATTGTGCTAGAGATTAGATTCTTCTAGGATGACTATTTTGTCATAGGTAATTATCAATCAATGTTCGATCAAATGCGAACAGAAATAAAAAAAATAACAATATTGAAGAATATTGAAGTTGTTATTACTTTTTTTATTGAACTTGACAAACCTATTTAATCAAAAATATACAATAAATTTTTTGTTTCTTTATTTTTTTCATATTTTTTTACATTTGAGGCGTTTTTAATAAATCCATTACTAGAATGACGCACTTTTGTTGCATTTTTTTTTTTTTTTTTAACAGAATGCGTATTTATTGGTGCGAAAATGTTATTCGATAGTTGACTTCACAACACGGTCATCATTTATTGCCATTGAAAGTAACATGTAAAAAATAAAGTAAAATTTATTTTTTTTTTATTTATGGAATTATTACAAGTAATTCATATATGAGTATATACAGATATTAATTCCTATTAATAAGAAAATTAGATTATTTTTTATCTAAGTTGAATTTTATGTATTTTAAAATTATTAAGATATTAATAAGCTGTATTACAAAAATTTTTAAATTACATTCTCGTTATACATTCACCGAGTAAGAAAGTTATAACTTTTATCATTTAATTTAGCAACTTTTAAAATGTATTTGACATAAAATTTGACAACTTTTAAAAACTGTCATATTATTTTTATTTCATTTCAATAAGAATCAAAGTGATTTTTAATTATCTTGAGTTAAATATTTTTCTTTCTCTCTCTCTCTCTCTCTCTTTCTTAAATATGTTTTCGAAATTGTATTTATGTGACAAAAATATAATAAATAATCTTTTATAAATATAAAAACTAATGGCTTGATATTAAGTATCGAAGAATTGCGACACAAGATAGCGTAAAATCAATGTTTTACTAAGGTTAAATCTCAACGAGTCAAGAATCTACGGTTGAAAAAAATTCTTGAATAATCTCTGCTTACGTAAAAGCGATACAATTGATAAATAATCGCGAGAGACACACGCGTTGACCGCATGGCTCCCCTGCGAACAGATCTATAACGAGCGTCATTCTTGTCCGGTCAAAGTGCAATATTCTGCAAGAATAACTTCTTATATAGTTCGCTTTATTGGCCACAATATACCGAGTGTCCTAAATAAGCACGCATAAATTTCTACGTGCATAAAAAAGTGCCTTTCGCAAAAATACGATAATATCAATGAGTTATAATTACAAAACTAGGGATGTACAAAGTGCACATTGTAAAGTCTATTGCTGTGTTATGCAACATTACCCTTCGTGGGACGCGGCTATTTCGAGCGAGAATCTCGAAGTAAAACGAGGTAAATGAGATACGATAAGGTACGTAAAAGAGGTACGTAGAATTTTCAAGTCGATTCGCTACGTGACCAATTTTTGCCTTTTTTATTCAAACTCATGTTCCCTCAACAGTTCGCCGCTACAAAAGCGGAATTACTAGAGCCAGGAGATAACAATAAGTCTATTTAAACATTATAATCACTAGACTAAAAACATTTTGTTCAAATAATGGGTTAATTGGATCTTTTATCTTAAGAACACTATTAGAATTCAATGCGCGTATTTTCCAGCTTGTGAGACTATCACAGAAGCTTGTGTATACGGATAACAAAAATATATTTAGAACATTCTTGCTTTACTTATCTGTGTATATGATAATACTTCATTGTGCAACATTAATTATTCCGATTATCTATCGAACACTTGTTAATCTAATACCACTTGTATATTATATGATTTCTTTATTATTAAGCTGTGATTAAAATTAAAAATTGTTTTATTATTAATTTTTCGATTTTTAAAATGCTTAGCTTTCAAGCATTTTAACTCTTTATTGTATTCATAATTTATATCATTATATTTAAATACTATTTATTTTAATAATATTACTTTAGTTTTATATTCAATACATAATACATGATTGACTGAGTTTTAAAAATTTAATATCTTTAATAAATTTTTCAAAAATTTCCATTAACAAAAACTGACGATTCATTATATTGCTAACGATTTATTAAGTAGAAAGAATATTCTTTACTGTTATATATATACTCTATTATTTAAGTAAAAAGAATCGTGTTCGAGTGTTTGTCAAATATTTACTAGAAAATTCAATGAATAAATAAAGATTGATACATTAAGAGTAATTGTGTCCACAAATATATCTATGTTCTCGAAGGTTATCGACATCAAAGGAGTTCGAGATGTGCGTCAGAGAACGCAACAAGAAATGTACGTACTTCGATAAATTCATTAAAGATAAATGCGTGAATGACGTGCAAAATATTTTTCATTGGAACGTTAGATAATCATGCATCTATCGCGATGATGGGATTTGCTGAGAAATATAATACGACAACGCAACACGCAATACTATCATATATATATTTGCAGATTTTTCTATTTTTTTTATTTGTTATTTTGTAATGAGATAACAGCGAATGCAATATACATGATAAGACTAAATAAATCAAAATCTACGTTGATCCTTACTTTGAAGAATATTCTAAATTCAGAAAAAATATTTTAAGAATACATTCATTAATTTTCAGATTAATTTCTTTTTAATTTTCAAAATAGCCTAATTTTTTGTAAATTAAACTTTCAGGATAACAAACTTTTGTTTTTAACATTAAATTTGATTTAAAAGATTTTAATCAAGAAATTTCCCATTTTAACATTTCTTTCAATCGAGATATTAATAGCGTCGAGAAACAAACAATATTTTCGTAAAGTGTAATTATATTCATGTATGATATATTTTTGTCATTCAAAATAAAAGACTAAATTTCTCAAAATCTGCGCATGATAGGAAAAAAATATATTACAATTTAATATAAAAAGCTATTCATGAGATAGCTATATTTGTTCTAGAGATTGTTTTATTATAATTATCCTCTCTTATCTTACGGTTATTGCGTCGCGATTACTTGAAAAAATAGTTTATCACCCGCTGAACGATACGAAAATAGCAATTGATCAATGGAAAATAGCTACGAGGGATATAGAGTAGTGGTACTTATAATATGCGCCGTAGTATAATTTTAAGCAGTTATGTATACACAACGAGATGTTTCGCAAGCAATAACACGAGCTGATTTAAATAAATGACATATTAATATGTAATACCGCGTTTTAACGATCATGATGTAATAATCGTACTATATAAATTATTGGCGCATATAATGGTCGATTAATAAATTTATATATTATTTATGTTCAATATTTTTATACTTTATACTTATTATATTGTAAAATTATCAATGATAATTAATTGATAGACGATATATCATTTTGTAGGATTATTTTTTAAAAAATGTAAAATATGTACAAAAAAAATTAGACATTTCAGAACATTCCAACTATTTTCCGTCAGAACACAACGCAAGAAGTATGTGAATAATTAAAATGTAAATAAGAGAGAAAAAGAGAAAAATAGAAGTGATTAAAATCAATTTTCGCTTATACATATTGAATCTATATTTGCATCCACAAAAAATGTAGGTCGATGTATAAAAGAATTATAGAATTTTCAAATAAATAATAAAACAAAGATTTTCAAAATCAATAAATAAAATGTTTCTGTGCAAAAATTTGTAATAAGAACTTACAAAAGTGTACTTAACAATAAAATTGTCAAGCAGTAAAATAATTTTGCATCAATTCATTATTTTGAAAAAGTAGTTACCAATTTTTCACGAGGTCAATAATTCGAAATTTTGTAATAAATGAAATTAAGTTAACTTAAAGATAAATTTCAAATAAATAAATGAAATGCATGTATAAACGAACGATTAGTAACTGAAGAAATTTAAATTGTTCTCAAATATATTATTTTAGTATAAAAATATTACAATTAAAATTTAATAAAATTAACATAAAATACATTAAAACACGCTTAAAAAAAAATCAATTAAAAAATAATATGTTTGTCCAGTTGATTTCCGTTTGTCCCCATTTAATTCAAATTCACATTTATGTAAAGATAAGAAAATACGAGTCGAGTCAATGTTTTAAAAATACAATTGCAAAAAACCCAGAACCTTAATAAGTCAATGTGCTCCAATATGATAAATATATTGAAGTATTATCTTATCAATATAGAACACGAAAGAGACGAGTACGATATTATATTATTCAGGAATGAATCGATTATTAAGACCGATTGTTCGTATACATATATATGTAGAGATGTAAAACTCAATCTCAGATATGTACACGAGGATTTGAATGTGATAAGAAACGAAGTATTCGGTTTTAATATTAATATAAAAGCGTAATCTTACCAGCACAGGACGCGGAGAAAACATGAACGATCGGTGTGTCGGGAGGTAGAATCGCGTTGAATGCGACTTTGCTCTTGGAGTATGCACAGAAATAGATAGCTCTGGACGGTGCCACACCGATGAGATTAGGACCGAGACCTTTGAATAATCCTCGTGCTCCCTCATTCTTGATAATATACCTTAAGCACTGATAGATGCCCGGCGCGTGTCGGGAAGAATTCGGAGGCGAGGTCGAGACGCCGAAATGCGAGAGGGCCACGAAGTGGCTGGAATATCTGAATATGAAAGAGAGAGAGAGAAAGCTGAATTTCAGAATACACAGTTGCATTTGCATACGTAGTGTTCATTTAATCTCGACACGCGATACAAAATTTCTAGATTTGATTCGAGACAAGATAATTTTCTAAAAACGCGCGTGCGCGTTACAATTACGATTACATATGTAATGATAATATACATTTACATTTCTTTTTTACCTGGGGTATCCAGTGCATAGCCTCCTGCGTTGTTCAGGTGTCGGCGAGCCCTTGCATGTGGGATGGCCGGATGTGAATTCTTTGCTTACTGGCGGCGGATGAAAACCGGAAGACGACGACTGCAATCGAGTCTTCACTACTTCAAGTGGACAAGTCACAATCGCTCCTGCCGTACCAGCCACTCTGAAATGTGAAAGGAAAGATTCATGTGAGATTGACGATCTCAGCAATGTTGTTATGTATTTACGATTACGATAATCAATCAATATTTCATATCTACTCGAGTATGTTTTTGTTTATTATGATGATCTCCCGTATTTGATGTTGCGTTCAGTTATTTCATTTTTTTTACTGTTACACATTTATGTACGGTATAAATAATAAACTCTCTCTTTATAAATATATATGTATATAATTATGTTACAGTTTAATAATTTTGTTAGTTTTGAAAAAAATTTATAAAATGCATAATTATTTTTTCAAAAAAATTAAAAAAGTATATCACAAATTACGACTGTATTTATGCAATCAAGTTTTATGATTTAAAAATGATAATTAAGTATTATTAATTATAATTTATAACATTTAAAATTAGTTTAATATATTAAAGAACCTTTACATAGCAGAACTAATCAATATATTAGGGAAAACAAAATGTTCGTTACAATTTATTACAAATTACTTGCAAGATTTCAATTTCTCATTATCTTATCTTTATTTTATCATATTAAGAAATATTGTAAAAGATAAAAATTATGTAATATTGTACAGATAACGGTAAAAATATGAGGAATATCGCATAATAATTCTAATGAGAGAAAATGAATATCAATATTTATTCGACGCAAATTCTTTTGCATTTCTCATTGACACGACTTTACTTATTTTTTCAATTAGATCTATAAGAATCATTATGTATCGGAGCACAAAGTATTTTATGCATTAGCGATATTAGTGAATCGACCGAGGAATTGACGTTCACTATTCATTGCAACGTGTTAAACAGTGTTGTTTATCGAGATTCGTGTTCAATAAAAATTAGTGTTAAATTTTTAATATTTTTCAATATATATTAAATTTACAGAATAAAGGTAAATTGGATAAACTGGTAACATTAAAAAAATTATAAGAAATTAAATATCCAAAAATTTTATTAAACTTTAAAAATATATTAACACATTTTATATTAAAAATATATATTTAAATAGGTGAGAGAGCTAAAAATATTTATATTTCAAAATATAAGTAGATAATAAAACTTTATTTGATAGGTACTTATATATTCATGACTTTAATAAAATTTTAATTTCAAACAAAATACTCAACATCAAAAATTTTTCATTTGCAATGATGTTTCATGTAGTTTTTTGTTAAGCAAACGTTAATTTGAAATTTCTCAAAGCACACAATGAGGCTAATTGTAAAAGAAAATACGACAAATTGCCTTCTGTTGTGTGTGTGTCCACGTAAATTTAAAGTCTTCTAAACAGATTAAATGTACAAACTTGAATGTAATTTAATGGAAAAAAACATGCTTGATTCGATAGTGTTTAATTAGCCTAATTTGCCCTTAAAGTCGTTATGCATGTTATCGTATCTATTATCAAGTCCAGAGGAGTAGCCGTAAATTAGCGTCTGATTTACACATTGCGCATCGTTAATTTGTATATCTTTCCGCACTGAAAAGCAGTTATATGCATTTACGTTCTTGTGCTCAATTATTATCAAGTATACAATTTGCATCGTTCTGCGTAAAACAAGCTGTGTTCAAGAATTTTCGTACACAAGTTGAAATGAATGAGAATAACGTCAGAAACATAGCAATTAAAATTGACAAAAAAATTATTTTTGTGATAAATACATCATTCTGCGTTTCCAGCCTACAATCGGATATAATAAAATAATAAGTTGATATTTAGTTTATTTAACAATCGTTAATTAATCTTCCTCAATCAATATCATAATCGTTTATTCCTTTAATGAAACTACAAAATTATTATACTAAACGATGAATAAAGACAAATAAAGGCTTATTGTTAATCTATTAATTTAATCAATGAAGACCTAAATTCTTTGCCCTTAATTGTAATTACTAACTAATCAATTTATATCAAATGTTATGAATTTAAAAATAGTTTGTGACAGTTAATTATTGATATTAATATATATATATATATATATATATATATATATATATATATTTAAAACGAATTTTGTAGATTTATAAAGTTTTGAAACAAAATTTACCAACACGTAGAATTTGGACTAGAACACGCAAATCATTTAGTCCTTCGTTATCTCAATCAAACGACACAAATGTTAGTCTCATATATAATTTACTTATTTGACCTTTCAACGATCTACTTTTGAATAAAAGGAAGGAAAATACCAGATTCGATATCGTGAAATCGATATCTCGTAATACGAATGCAACATAAAGGGTGCTCTACTAATATGTATGGTGCAATCTTTTAAAATAGAGATATCAGATATTATATCACAAAATCTTAATATATAGATGTTTCTACGTTGAAACATATAAATAATTCTCTTTAATTCTTAAATTATAAAAAATAAAAAATCGAATTTGAAAATTATAATTAAATTTCAAAGAGATAATAAAAAACAAACGAAATTCCTTCCCTTTACTAATCTTATAACTAATCCTAATTAAAGTTTTAATTGCTGAAATTTTAGCAATTTAAGTTAAATTAAAAATTAATGATAATCGTAGATTTTCTTTATCGTAAACTTGATTTTTTTAATTTTGAAGATATAATATAAAGGAATAATTTTGAAAAATGTGTGTACTAGTATATATCCGTTAAAATTGCATCAATATATTGTATATAAATACAACTTTTTGCATCAAGTTTTTGAATGTTCCAAAAGATAATTCACAAGTTTCATTTATCGATTATTTTTTCAGACATTATATATATACATATATATATAATCCTGTATATTATATATAATTCCATATAATATATAATAATCCTCTTTAATTGTATATATCTTATTCTATGATATTTTCTAACTGCAGCAAAATTACACATCATGATGCAATCTTACTCGATTTTATCATATGTATACATAGAAAAGAAATCCTTTAGATTATTTGAAATCTAATCAAAAAAAAATTCAAATCATGAATTTTTTGGAACACTCCTTAGACACGAGGACTTATCATGCAGAAATGTGATGTGTGTGCGTATATATGTATGCGCGCGCAACCAGGTGCAAACGCCGACTGACGATGAGTTGATATACGTTTATATAACTGCGTCAAATTTCCTTCCGAGTGAGTTGACACGTGATTTTGTAAATAACAATCTTGTGTTTCAGCATTGGTAAGGCCGATTATACCAAGCGATTTAATGTTATTGTTTACGAAATATGTATGAGCGCAAACATAAACAAATACCTATATTTGCACAATATATATAGTATATTGACCTACTATTAATTATAAATGCAAATCAAATTCAAATCTAATATTGATACATACGGTATGACGTAAAAAAAAGAGAAAAATAATTAACTAAAATAAATTAATCAAGATTGTTTAGCTTCAATATGTTAGCCTATTATTTTGTAAGTAAATTACGTAACCATTTGAATAAAGACATTAAATCCTTTTTTCATCTTAATTGATCGTATATGATTTATATGATAACAATATTATTTTGAGCTCGGTTTTAAATTTATTTCAGTTTGTATCGCAAAACTAAATTCTTCTCAATGTAAAAATTCCATAATTCATTCATAAATTATCATTAATTATATTTTAATTGACTCAATGTCTCTCTGCAATAAAACTACACTTATTATATATAAACACAGAGAAGTTTTGTTACCTACAATTTTATTAGTGATTAGGATTATATGCATATATGTATAAACGATTTCAACGAAAACCGGTTTTATCTATTTATATCACGAATATAAACTACAAAAATTATTAAACCAGTTAAGGTTATTAGTCCAATGCAGCTTCAGATTTCCTTCACACATGCATTTTTTATCATGTACATTGCAGTATCGTAATTATCATACAAAAAATAGAGAAGATAAATGTATGCCATTGATAAAGATTAGATATAGAAAAATTAACAGATGCTACAATCTCGCTAAGAAAATAAAAACTTCTATAAAAAATTGTTAATCTCAAAATGCCTCATTTTATAAAAATTGCTGAGTGCATTCCTTTTTGCGCATTACAGTTGTTTTCAGTGACACATACGATACTACGTCATATTTAAGACTATGTTAAAAAACAAAGATATTTTTTATCAAGCTAGAAATAATTGTCTGATAATTTCGTTATTAGTTACGACCATCTATGTGCGCAATATTTAATCATTTGACAAGAATCAAACATTAATACCTGAAGCTATAATCATGTGTATATTTTTGTATTATCTCTGTAATATATAACTGAATTGTTTATTCTACGGTTACGATAAAGATGGAAGAATTTCAAAACGTTTATATAGAAATGTTATTTTATAATTTATTTTTGATATAAAAAAAAAAAAATTAGACGTTTTTATAACATTGTAAATAAAAAAGAAGATTTGATTTTATCGCAGTGATATGTCATAAAATACATGCCCTCGAGATAACATCAATTTATCTCGTTTTCACGCTATCTTATGAAAGATGCACATTTGCATTACACTTGTTAGATCTCGAGGATATGGAGAAATTATTTTCCGTCTCAAATGTAGGCCTTTCAAGTTATTCGGATTTTAATTGCAAATGATCTAGGAATTAAAAATTTATTTTATATATATTCAATTTATTTACGATTCTAATAACTGAATTAATTAAATTCAATTTTCATAAATGGCAGTTCTAATCTCTCATGTATATGATTTTTTTAAATTAATTTAGAATTTATTTTTTATAAAAATAGAAGAAAGTATCTTTATTGTATAAAATATCTTTGCTGCAAATTTTCAATATTTGACATTAAATATTTTTATATATAATTCTCACCAAATTTATTTCTTAAATTGAAATATACTCTCAAAATTAAATAAATAAGGGTTCAAAATCGTGCTGAATTATGCTGATCAATTTTTTTGGAAAATAATAAAAAATTGTGGTTTCTTCGTTTCTCTTATTTATACGATCTCATTTTGTTTAATAATTTTATTTATAGGTATATAAATATATATTGCTTTTCACTTAGAAAGTACTTTTGAGAGAGAGCATTGATGCAATAATTTTAATCTACATCTAATATCTATACATATAAATTTAAAAAATATTTATATAATCATTATAGCATGTAAAATGCTTTCCATACACAATACATATTTATAAACAAAAAAAAGCGATGACGATGCTAATTCAATGTTCTTTCAAACAAATATAATAGACACGTGCTTTATTCATGTAACAACTGATTCAAAAGTATGTTTATCCTACACCTGAAAATTCTTTTTCAATCGCACACGATCCTTGACTTTTTAATCAAGCTGTACTCAAACACATATCACTCCCTAGAAATTTTTCTCGAGGAAGAAATCGATTAATTATCAATTAATCAAAAATTGATTAAAAAATGATAGATAAAAGAAAGGTCAATAGGTATCTTATCACGTATTTGCACATCGAGTATGCTCCTGATTAAAGGCAATCTCTGTAGAATCTTAACCGAGCCGGGCCAGAATGAGGCGAGAGCTAACCTTATAATAAATAAGACACTCGGTGCGATCGGGATTGCGTAAATCGAGGAGGATTCGTAAAGGAGGGAACCGCGTAGCAGCCCTAAAAGCGAGTCAAGGCCGCGACGCAGAAAAGCCGGGCCGCGCGCGCGCTTGATCGAAAATAATACTCACCCTCCGGCGACGAGATGTATCGCCGTGTCGCGATCCAACATTCTACTCGCGATCGCGCGAGACGCACAGAATCCGTTGTCGGTCTAAGATAACATGCACTCTCGCGCGAAGGACAAAAATGACAAGACGAGACCGAGCGAGATCAGGCCGAACTGAGGCGAGGTGGGACGAGACGCGCAATAAATCTCTCTCTTGAGAGGAGTAACGCCACTGTTTTCGCGGACACAGAGTCTACGTCTAATGTAGTACGACAACCTTGCAACTCGACGAACTGCACCTCTCTTCGATCGCGACGTGACACACGAAAATTCAACGAGCACCGTATTTGAATTATACACAACCGTACACTGTTTTACATATCGCGAAAAACAACGAACGACTCCGACCGGGACGACAACGTACCACGCACTGCCGCCGGATTCCCCCAGATTCTCCCGACCACCCTGTTTATCCCCACTCCTACCGCGTTTCGCGCCGCGCGCGCGCGAGCGCTCCGCGGTATTTGACGAATGTAAACAAGTGGCGCCGAGAGTGTGCGTCGTCTCAAGGGCGAAACACAATTGGCTGCAACACACGCGCGATGATTAAAATTTCTAGTTGTAAATGCGCCATCCAGTAATTTACTATAATTGGAACAAAATGCGTCGCATGCGCGCGGAAATTTTATTCAAAAAGCAGAAAATTTAATCAAAAATAGATGTTTAATACCTTTCGTTATGAGAAAACAATTTAATATATATAAAATATAATTAATATATATATATATATATATATATATATATATATATATATAATAGCATATAATATATATATTAATATAGTAAATTATATGTATATGAATGTAACACATTTCATCCTATAAAATGTAACACATTTTATGTTACAACAGAATCTTTTTTAAAATAAAAATTTATTATATTATTCTTATTTATAGATATATGTAGATATCACTATTTTTTTAATTATATAAACTCATTAATTCTTTTAGATACTTATAATATCCAAAACGAGAATTAATAAAGCTTATAATTAATAACTTCCCTTATAGAAATTTATCATTATAGTAAGCCCAATTAATCACTTATTTCGAGTACTTAAATTATTGATATACAATAATTTTTAAGTACTCGAAATAAGTGATTAATTAGACTTATTAGTGACAAATTTCTATGAGGGTTATGTAACTTAAAGTAATATAATAAAGATTATATAACTTATTTAAGTAATGTAATATAGTGAAATCTCTAGATTATATAAATATACAAAATAATTTATTTTTTAGAAATGTAATTGAAACCTGTATCTGATGTAAAAAGATGAGATTGGGCAGAACTTGGATTGCGAGATGTGGTAAAACTATCTGTTCGATATTGTTTATTCATTATTGAATCGATTGACCGTGTAGACTCGGATATAGGTGTTACATTAGAGAATTTCAGAAAATTCAATGATTCTGGATTATATCTGTAGACAATGAAATAAAAATGCGTTAAAGAAAAAACGCAATAATAAAAAATATCACATTATTCTTATATATTCAATAAAAAATATAAGAGTCATTTGTAATTATAAATAAATACATGTATATATAATAATAACAAATGTTGAAATTTATGAATAAATATAACCTAATTAAATCTAATATGTGTTTTTGTAATTTATGTACCTTATTGAGCTTGCCGATGACTGCATAGAACTAGCATTATTAGAAATTGTCGGCGTTTTCATCTTGTTAGCTAGCGCATTACGTGTTTGTTCTATATTTTTTTTAGTTTGTTCTATCTCTTTCTGGACTTTCGCATACTTCTGAGTTAATATTTTATAAGTATGTTGATCTTGCAAGTACAGCTTTTTCAGTTTCTCGTATTTTTCGTCCTTAAAGAGTATACAAAAATATTAATAATATATATAAATATATAAAAAATATATATACAATATAAATAGAAATATGTATAAATAAAATTAATTTAGAATTTTATATTTACAAGTTCGCGAAAGCGTTGCATTGTTATTTTCATTTGATTGCTTCGTAATGTATTCGCGTTTGAAAGCAGTTCCCAAATGTCGGTGTAATTCTCGAGAGGCGCCAAAAACGAGATCGTCTTAGGCATCATTGGTTCATCTAATGCTAAATATGCTGGACTAACATATTGGCATTGTGAGCATCGATCTTGGACTGTAATAAAAAATTCATTGTATGAATATTTAATTAACTGTCTCTTTCTCCCCTGTTTCTATACGTATGATTTTATAATTTACCTTGTATACAATTTTGACAAAAAATGTGGCCGCATTGTGTAATATTGAACGGCTGCTGTCCTCTATGTATTGGAACGAAGCATTTATTGCAAATTAACGAATCCATCTGTGAAATATATGTCTCTAAAAGATAGAAAAAGTACGATATATAGCTATGCAATTTGCGACGGTTAATCTTTTTTTCATATGCAATTTAAGCGAGTTATTTATATAGTATTCTAATCTAGTACACTTTCCTTGTATACATACATTAAACAAGGTCCAAATTCACTTTTATTTGCGTGTGAATCTAATTGTATCGATCAAATATTTCCCTGTTTTCTCTCTGTTTTTTCCGCAAAAGGAATGCGATACGTGTTCCAACATTACTTAATGGCGCCAAGGAATGAATTGAAGTAGTTCGACGTCTTTTATTGCAAGCAACATTGACAGATTGGCCACCCGTAAAAAAAAAAAAATCGCTAGAACAATTTTATGATATCGATTAATCGATTACGATCGATTTGTATGTGAATCTCCATATCACTCGAATTTTGAAATAGAAATATTAATTAATTTCGCCTTTTATAAAGCAGAAATAAAAAATAAATAAAATTAAAACTCGATTGGGATAAAAAATATTACAAAGTATTGTTATACAGTGAATATATTCGCAAATTAGCGCCATGTGTTGGGTAATTCGATTGTTAGAGCAATTTTCTATATGACATGTATAATATACGTATTATACGTAAAAAGTATTATACATGCATGAGGTGCGTTCAAGAATCATCCTTTTAGCGCTTTAAGCGTATATATTTATCAGCGTTTTTTCGAACAAACTTATCTCATCATTGGTATTTCATAACATAAATCCTATATATAAAACAATTTTTTCGTTGTAAAAAAACAATCTAATTTATTTTTAGTTAAAAAATAATTATTTAACCTGTGATTTATTTTTAGTTAAAAATTAATTATCTAACCTGTGATTTATTAATCTAGTTTTTGATGTATTCGCGAGCAGATAAAGCAACAGTTTTATCATCCCCCAGATAGACATATTTCAGCAGATTGCTTACATAATGACAGAATTTTAAAATTGAAAATGCTTGCATAAATATTGGAAGATACGTCCCTATGTGACATATGAATATTATCAGCAAGTGAAAGGATTTTTTATAATGCTGTAAAAATTGCGAATATATATATATATATATATTCCAGCAAACACAATATATAAATGTTATATACTCAAGCATGTTACATGTAACGTATATGTTAGTTGTAATTTCCCACTTATAGATGTAACATTTTTAATATTACATATATTACATTGTAGTTATATTGTCATTATATCCCAAGATAGCACTGACTTATCAATACATCAATGTGTTTTTTGGTATATAATTACAATATAACTACAATGTAATATATGTTATATTAAAATGTTACATCTATGAGTGGGAAATTACAACTAACATAGATGTTACATGTAACGTACACGTTATATTACCTGTTATATTCCGTTTTATTATAGCAATGTAACAATTATATATCGGTGTTTGCTGGGTATATATATTTGTCAAAAAGTTAGTTTTTGATGTATTCGCGAGCAGATAAAGCAACAGTTTTATCATCCTCCAGATAGACATATTTCAGCAGATTGCTTGCATAATGACAGAATTTTTAAATTGAAAATGCTTGGATAAATATTGAAAGATACGTTCCCATATGACATATGAGTAGGTATTATCAGCAAGTGAAAGGATTTTTTATAATGCTGTAAAAATTGCGAATATATATATATATATATATATATATATATATATATTTGTCAAAAATATAATTATTGATATGCAGTTGTGCGTTTATAGTATAGTGAAACATATATTGGTATTTTATAAAATATACAAATATATATATATATATATATATATATATATATATACATATATATGTTAACATATATGTATATGACATCATATAATATGCACAATTAAAATTTATTAAAATGATTCGCACTTTTATGCTGTTCTAATTGCATTACAAAGGATATGTTTGCATACTATATATTTGGTGCTTTTCATTTAGCAATACAAAACGACACAAGCGTCATTCTATCTTTGTTCTACATTCTATAAGAATAAAGATAGAATGATACTTGTGTCGACTTGTGTTGCTAAATGGAAAGCACCAATTATATGTTCAGCATACTTGTCTATCTGGGCCTTTTTAATTTTTTTTAAATTTCCTTTATCCCAATAACAATGTTTGTTGCGGTCGCTCACCATAATTTATAAATAATTTATTAAAAATAGTTTTTTAAATACAATTTTAATAATGTCAAAGTCAACTATTAATCAAAGATGCACCTGCAATTAATGGCTTCTGTAGCATTATCTGTAAGTTTTATACATATAAATTATTACATGTCAAAATTATACATAGTATAATACGTCATGTCAAATTGTTATGTCAAAGGAATTTCACGTATTATAGAAAAACTTCAGTTTAGAGGTGAACAAGTATTTCAGAATAGAGGGAGATGCAGAATAGAGAGATTCCGCCATAATAGGGACTTTTGATGTGACGCGAGAGAGTGTGTGAGCCCCCCTGCGAAGAAGTGACAGAATAATCGTCCACAATAATGGCGACCATGGTGGAGGATCAGAATTCGATTGATATGAATGAGGATAAAGATTCATCGTAAGTTTTTTCCACGCGGATAAATCGCGGTGGCGAGCTCCGTTTGCGAGGTCGTTCGCGAACGGCGGATCTGTCAAACCGCGATCTGTCAAATCGTGATCTGTCAACGCGACACTCGGCGCGGTTTAACCTTAAATTGCACCGTTCGCTCGCGCTTCCTGGGGCGGTATTTTTTAACTGTGCCGTGCTCTATTTTTTTTTAGATTCGACCAGGTCACGCACAATTGGGTGGACATAACTCAGGAGTTTTTCGAGGCGATCACAGGTATTTGATTGATAGATCGATTACGTTATTTTGCGCCGATAATCTTTCGTTTCTTTCCACGTTCCGCACTCTCCTTCCTCCTGCAAATTCTTCACGACCTTGTGCTATGAATATTGAAGCTGTTCGTTCCTCTAGTGCTAGATTTCTTACACTTTCTATATTTAACATAAGATAGTATTTATTCTTTAAATGAGAAAAAACTGGAACAAAATAATGCAAATAAATCGAATAAATGTGTCATCTAAGTCTAATCCTTTTCTGAAGTTTTTAGTTATTTCTATGAATTTTCAAATATTGTTATAAGTCTGATTACAAATTTTAATAAATACTGAACTTGTTCTGTATTTGTCTTTTTTATGTTTAATTATCTCTGTAATTTTATTAAAACGATAATTTTGACATAAATATATGATAATAATAAAAGTAGAAAAGTAAAAAAATATATGTTCTTAATAAATTATAAAAAGACTATTTTATTATATAAATTACTATATAATATATATGTCAGAATAGAATTATAGTTCCCTTATTTGATAAGTTCAAGATTAAGTCATTGTGAACTTTTTTTTTAATTTCTGAGAATAATAAATAGTAATGATATTACTAATTGTAAGATATTAGTAATGAAATATACTAGTGGAATATTTTATTATTTTCTTGAATATATGCAAAAGTTTGAAATGTTTTCTTACATTCTGTATCCAGAATTGGAATTGGGAGAATTATTGCACGATGAGCTGTTTGGGTTATTTGAAGCCATGTCTGCCATTGAGATGATGGATCCAAAAATGGATGCGGGCATGTTGTGCAATCGAGGGAATAACAAGCCTTGCACTTTCACCCAGGCAGTTGATTCAGGCACAATCAAATTAGACAATTTTACACCTGCTGAAATAATAGGAATAATAGATTCCACATATGCGTGTATAGTATCTTGGCTGGAGGGTCATAGTCTTGCGCAAACTGTTTTTACAAACTTGTATTTGCATCAACCTGCGCAAATATTAGATAAGCCTCTGAAGACCTTCTGTTATGCAGTGTACAAAATTATAGAGATAATCAAGGATTGCATTAATAAAGCTTTAGTGTTTGAAGAGGAAGATTTCCAAAGCGTTACTTATGGCTACAGATTACAGCAAGACATTACAGAACAGAAAACGATATCAATGTTGAGAGAAGTGGAAGAAGAGTTGCATCGAAAAAGTAGAATAAAACTGGTTGATGTTGAATCTGAAAAAGAGGTAAATTTCTTTATTAATTTTAATTTTATTTATTTGGACTTCAATTTATTGAATTTTAAATTTGTATCTTCTTTTGAAATAACAATTTCGTATCTGTATCTCTCTCTTTTCATACATAATTTGTTATATTTACTATATGATTTGTTATTATATTAGTATTTATTTGCAGTATAATGATGGAATAGCACTTTATGCAAGGATTCGCTTTACCAAAATGTTCTATCAAGTGTTAACTTTAATGGGCAGGAAACAGCAACTTCAACAGAATTTAAGTGATTGTCAGAGATTATTGTCAAATTGTTCCGATATGCTTCATATTATGATTTTAACAGTGGGTCGTGGTGAAAAAGCTGATGAAGTTTGTAAGTATATAACATATAGAGAATATATTATGTATTTTTCTTTCATTATAATTTTTTTTTATAAATTTGGGACCAATTACTTCTTAGAAAAAAATACATATTAATATATTGTTTTTTTATGAAAATATTTTTATTTATAATTTATACTTTAATTGCAGCTAATCATCCAAATATTATGGGATTCGATCCACTGGTGAATCAAAGATTGTTACCACCAACATTTCCTCGGTATACCAAAATAAAGCCAAGAATAGATGCCTTGGAATATTTACTGGAATTAATAAATAGATTCAAAATGGTTACCAAGATTACAAATCACACTGGATTTCACGCCGCCCTGGTAATTCACAACGAATTAATATTTTTTATTGATGCAAAGCTTATATGTGAAGCTTATATGTAAGTAAATTTTCTTTTAGGACTTTTCTTAGAATTTTCGCGTCAGAGTCCATGCATATTGTCTAGGTCTATGTTACAAATCGTTTATTTGCCTACCACTAATCGTGTTTTTGGTGTGCACAATTTTGCCGACGTACTAAAAGATGCGGCGCGAAATTTTATTGCTCCACCAGTGTTGATGCCAAAGAGCACATTGCTTCAAAATCATCAAGCTAAGGAATATGTCGACAGTTTTCTGTCGCATTGTGTTAGCTTATTTGGAAGCTTATTACAGCTTAGTGGACATAATAGAGCAAGACAAAGAGATAAACTAGCGCATTTATTAGAAGATTTTGCGACACTGCAAGATGAAGTAAGTAGAATTTTTAATTATTTTTATATTACTTTATTAATTTTTTTTATTACTTTATTAAATTGCTACAAATATTTTTATTTCATTTTTCTACAGTAAGTATTATATATTTGCTTTCTTATACTATTTAGTTTTTCAAAAATGGCATTTCTAATAAAGGCACACTCTAAATTTTAAATAAACTATTATATAATTCAATCTACTAATAAAAAAAGATTACAACAATTAAGATATAATATGTATATCAGGCAGAGAGAGTTGATGGATATTTGCATACTCTATCGTTAAAAAGTGATACACCAAGACCTCACTTGGCTTGCTTTGGTACCTGGATTTTATATCACACACTACGTGTGATGGTTATGTATTTGTTAAGTGGCTTCGAGCTCGAGTTATATTCGGTGCACGAATACCACTATATTTTTTGGTATCTATACGAATTTCTGTATGGTTGGCTCGTATCTGCAATTACGAGAGCCGATACGTTCTTAATGGAACAAGATGTACACAATGATACGCATAAAGGTAGAGGTGGCAAGAAGAGTTCTAAAAATAAAAAGAAGAAATCGACTCCGAGGCCGTACAATTTAGAAATATTGATGTATCAGGCGTTGCAAAATATATGTGGCGGATATTATAAAGTAAGTTGCATATCTTTAATAGAATATATCAATTTTGATCACGAATATTCAATGAATAATATGAACTTTGTAAAATTTTCAGGCTTTAGTCGGTTTTCGCATGGATGGAAAAATACCTCTTCCAGAGATGCAATTCGATTCAGAACGAGTGAGATACGAACATAGATTATTACCGTTCTCGTCTTTGTTAACGCCACCACCTGTTCATTATCAAGAATTTCTAGACATGACAAATGCCCAAATGCATAAAAGGAATGTAAGTTTAACACGTAATCACAGCTTTAAAACATGTGTTTAAAAAATGAACAATTCATAAATTACACTATGAATTACAAATTTTGTTCTTTTAGGAAAAAGTTACTAGCGAAATGCAGTATATCGCCGGTTGTCGTCATTTTCATCAAGCTAGAAATATGTTGGAACGTGCGTTATTGCTTTATCCATCAAATAGCTTAATGGAAAACGAAGTAAGTTTATAAACATATAAGTTTGTAACTATTTAATAGCATTATCATACACATTTTTTATTTTACAGATTAACAACTTATTAAAAGTAGCAAAGACTAATTTCGTGGTGCTAAAATTATTGGCTGATGGACACAAAAAAGATTCGAAAGAACCACCGATTTTCGATTTTTCTTGTCATAGGCATTTTCCTCTAATTAAAATAACCTAAATTACATATCTGTATCAATTATTTTTCCACAATAGACATGCACAAAGATCGTGCTATTTATTTCCAATTCCTTTACAAAGAAAAGGATATCTATCTTTGATTTGATTTTTTATTTTTATTCTAAATATTTCAAAATGATCTCTTTATTTCATACATTTCCTTTTATTATTTGAACATAAATCTACAAATTGAGAAATATGATTTCATGCTGATTTATATATTATCTTGTACATGCTAGAAGGAAATGATATATATTTGTATATATAAATTCTTTTGTTTCTTTATCTCTACAAGTCATGTTTATCTTAAGAACAAAGATTTAAGAGATGGCTATTATATTTATAATATTCATCATCACATACAATTGTTCAATTGTATTAGTTTTAAGAATTGCAATTGATAAATTGCGATTAGTTGATGTGAGCTGTAAATACGTTATGCAATATAGAAAGTGATACAATCTACAAACATATTTTTCTCGAATACCATTTTAGTTGTAAAAAGTTTATTTTTATGTATATAGTTTAAGAAAAATTTACATTTCTCTCTTTTGATATCGTAAATTAATATAATTATGATAGAAAAAATAAAAGCCTTGGTGCTTTTTTTTAAACAAAACAATGAAAGGCCGCATGATTTATTTTTCTATATATGTATATTTTCTATCATAACTGACATAATGACATATGTCAATGAAGTATAAAATATCTAAAGCCTTCGATAAATAATATAATTATGATTAATATCATAATTTGAAAGTGCGTGTTTATATAAAACGATTAAGATGTTTATGACACTATAAAACGTGTCTATTTATAGAATTTGTATAGATTTAAATAAAAGAAAAAGAGGCCGATTTAGAAGATAACATTTAAGATGACTTTATCGATTAAAATAGAAAGACAAAAGATTCTCAAACCTTATCTGGGTGGATGGCGTCACAAAATTACCGGAATAGAATACGTAAACGCAGCTTCTCAAACTGGACCTCTGCCAAAACAGATATCATGGCAGAATACGTGCAGCAGAGCGGTGCAATGTATGCAAATGAAGGATGGCGCAACCCAATCATTGCGTCATTGTGCAACACAAATGTGGCGGTATTAAATATTTATTATAAAATCTCTTCCCTATAAAAGTAAATAATATTGCATCTACATAATTGTGCGAGATATAATATTCTAAAATTGTAAGAGAGATGTATATATATTTGAGAAGATTTTATCAAAGAAAAAAGATAATATATTTATAAAAAAAAGAGAATATATTTATAAAAAAAATATATATAGAAGATAAATTGTATGAAAAATTTTTACTATTAATTTAGAAATGATTGCTACATACCTAGTGAAGAGGATAAATACATGATTGTAAAGCCATATAAAAGCCATGCAAAAATACAATCCCATTTAGATAGATACGCACGTGTAATTCAGAGAAATTACCGAGCATATAGATTGATGAAATACATCAGGAAATGTGCACAAACTTATCGCAATATGCTCGAAAAATGTAACAAATACGAGGAAGAGAAAGCTATTGCTTACAAGTAATTCGGATATAATTATTCATTTTGAAAGAGACATTTTTTGAAATACATAAATTTTTCCATCTTTTCAATTGCGTTTATATTGATAAACTACTAGTAATTCTGAGAAATAATAATTGGAATATAAATAAATATTTACACTCTATTTCAGGTTTTTATCTTATGAGCTTGTGCAGAATGTCTTAGCTTTTTTGCTTTTATTTTCTTTTAATTATACCTATATTTTTCGAAACTTGATTTATTTTAAATATCTATGGTTGAATTTTAAATCAAATTTTATTAAAATAACTATTTATTTATTTATGATATTAGAGAAAAGAATAAATTTTTGTTAAGATAATATCTGCTGTATAGCTACTTCGTTATTGATAAAAGAATTTTTTAGAGATATACATTTTTGAAAAATGTTGGAATCAGAAAAATTTTATATGAGAAAAATTTTTCGGTTTGTCGGACACGATCAAAATAATCTTTTCTGCATATAGAAAACTTCTTTTCTACAATATATATATATACTTTCTGCACAATTTTCAAAGATGTTTGAGCGGTTTCACACTTTGTATATACACACTATAAAATCACGTATTGTGTATCTCTTCTAGAATGCGACATAAATCCAACATTCTTCGTCAAACTTATCCGCGATCGAGGGCTGACTTTGACATGCTCTACAATCTGATCGAAAGATGGAGATCCGATTGTCTAAAAGATATAAAATCACGATTGTTCAAAAGCGGGCAACGTGCTGAAAATTACAGAATTCTAGAAAAGACAGTGGAAATGTTTAATTATATCGACAAACATAAGCAAGCTATTAAAAGCTCGTACAGGAAGCAAAGAGCTCTTAAATTTTTGACGTTAAATTGCAAGTCGATACGATGGACCGGTTACAAGGGTAAAACCGTAGAGATGATCACTATGAAAATTCAAAAGGCTCGGGAGTTTAAAAGAGTCTATGATGCATTGAATAATCGCAATGTTAATTCAGAGGAACGGATGAAGTTATTAATAATGTTAAAGACATCGCTCGAATCACACAATTGTATTGATGCTTTTGATCTGATCTCTTTATTGGATCAAGAGATCGCATTATTGAATCGAAAGATTGAGGATTTATCACTCGATTATTTAAACGAAAGAATAATGCGTAAGATCTTTTTATTAATATCCTTTTATTAATATATAATAATAAATATTAATAACTAAATAACGAGATAATAAGAATAATGAAATTAATGATTTTTATTTTTAATAGCCAATGCGGCGAATCATGTGAATGTAAATATTAATGATACGTCATATGTTAAAAATGTTAACGGCGATAAATGTGATTTGAAAGAAATATGTATATAAATAAATAATAATTATATTTTATGTTAAATAAATTTGATATATTAAAACACATTTTTTATTTTTTTTTAAATTGTATTTATCGCTGATAAAATTACATGTAATATATAATTTTGAGACACATTGTATATAATATGTCTTATAGATACTTACTTAAATTTTGTGAGCGTGTATAGCACGTGCAGATGCAAATGTGTAAATTCTAAAGACAATGAATTACGAGAACCTTTAGAAGCAAGAATGAAATTTTGTCGGAATTGCTCAAAACTACTTCCTTTCCATAGATTTTTCCCACATACCAGAATGAAGAAACTATCAGTTTGTATTAGTGAGCAACATGAATATCAAATTTCATAATATTTTATTTAATGAGCTGTAATATAATGATTTATTGATCTATTAGTAATTAATTTTTAATTAATTTTTTTTTAATTAAAATGTTTTGCAATGAAAAATTTTAATTTTCTCATGTAATTTTTGACGTTTAATTTATTTTCTATATTCTATATTATCTTTTACTTTATTGCATTTTAAAGAGAAAAGAAATGAGGAAATTGCGTATATTTCATTCAAAATCATTTTTTCTATTTAATTATACTAATCACAATTAAAAAGCAAAAATTTGATTAGTATATAATTAAGTAAATAGAAAAAATGCAATAGGATAAAAGATAATATAGAAAAAAAATTAAACATTAAAAATTATATGAAAAAAATCGAAACTTTTATTATACATGTATTTCAATTTTATTTTTATTATACATCTTGAAATTAATTAATTAAATATTTCTTTAAGGTTGCAGTTCTCTAGCTCGGCGTAATTTTGCACATGTGGATTATGATCCTTACATGTTTATATTAAATTGCGTGCGAGCTGAGGAAGAACGTCAAAGCTCCAGTTCCGGTTTGGCATTTATGATGCAGGAACATGATATTTATCATCTAGTTAATCATATTTGGCACGGTCAATCAGCGGTCAGTAAAGTTAAGGATCTTTTTGTTCTGAGATTGATCAGATATCAAAAGGATATTGAATGGGCACCTTGGAATTGTATTCTTCTTACGGAAGACGAAGCCAATATACATTGTCATATTGATGATCTTGCTACTGTATACTCGAAGCATCTGATAAATCAGATCAATTTGAATCATCAGATTGCAAAGAATTATTTCAAGTATGTATAAATAAAAATATAATATTTTTGTTCATTTATGTATTCGCTTAACAATATAAAAATCTCTTTAAATGGTGTCCTAATGATTGTTTGAAGGATGATTTTATATACTTCTCATTTCAATCTTATTCTTTGGCATTTTCAGACAATTGATGAGTTTTGAAAAAAATTTTCGAGAATCTTGTCGCTTTTCTAGTATTCAAAGTGGAGTACAATATAAACCACCATTAACTGTAGAAAATTACGATCCTTCTAAAAAATACAAGCAATAACAAAAGATTGTGTTACCCGATGTTGTACGAGAATGAATATTAATTAAATCCCTTAAAATTTCTTGATTATTTCGCTTTGATGCATCAAATAATTGCTATTATACTATATCGGTTTGGCTATTTATTTAATAAATTTTTGTTATATAACAGTTTTATGCTTTCGCATTACAATTGGATTTTATTGTATTTTGTTCGCGCAAATATTGTTTGAATAATATGTATGGTTTAGCTATACATATCTATAAAAAGAAAATAAGTAAAATGAATTAAATGGAATAAACTCTTGTAAAAATTTGATATATTTTTATAAGTTATATTATAGTTTATTTGAAAGTTATATATAATATATAAGATTAACATTTTTTTATAAATTATTAATAATTGTTAAAAATAAGTTAATGTAATTACATGTAAAAATGTGCGAAAAAAAAGAAAAAGGAAAAGATTGAGATATAAGAATTATTATAATAGTAAAAACTTAAATTATTCAAAACTTTTTAATGCACGTTATGTTACGTTAACAAACTTTTTTAAATGTTTCTAATACTTAATTCGTGCATGTTTTCGAGACTTTACTCTTTATCTATCAGCGAAAACAACGTTACTTTTTTCTGCCATCCGGTAGTCAGCGAAAATAATAAGCTTAAAGCTCTTGACTGCTGCGAGCTTGCATTAAAAAAAACTATAAAAATATGCAATCTCTGCACTGAACATTCCAACATATTGTTGCAAGAGAGAAGTACTTTACAAATTTCTCCGTTCAAAACCGATAGTATTAAACTTGCATCAAACGAATAAAATTATTCGCATTAACTTTTTCATTATTAACTTTGTTAATATTATTTAAATTGTTAAATTATATAAGTAATACATTTTTTTCTGAATATATATATTTTCATAAAGAGTATACAATATGCATTTATGACTTAAAGAATAAATATATGTTAATATTATTTTTTCTTTAATTATAAATGTGAATATTGTTTATACATTTTTTAACCATTAAAAAATAATGACTTTAATCTCTAATATTATTAAAGTCAGTAGAAATAGTAGAAAGTTTTTTACGTTATATATGCAACATTATTTCAAAAGTTGTAGCACAAACGCAACCAGTGATAGTGAAAGCTTTTACGTAAGGAATGTACATCAACAATGATAGCGATCGGTTTTTGTACTGTAAAAGCTATTGCGTAACGGGATATAAATTGTTCACTGTTCTAGAACCACCATTTGCTATCTCGTATCACTTTATCGCTGTAACACAATCTGGCTTATACTTGCATTGCAAATATCAGCTGCACTACCCTTAATTGGTTGCGAGAATCGAAATCGATTTGTGTATATTTGAGAGATGCGGTTAGAAAACAAAAATCAAATAAAATAAACAATAGTTTCCGAAATCTAAAGCAAGTTCGAATATTTTTATAATCTACTTAGTTAAATTTGATAAATATATATATATATTAATTTAATAGATTGAATTTGATATATTTAATATTTAATAATTGTTCTCTCTTTTTTCGCAGAATACAAGAGGAAGGTCTAAGAAAAGCATCAGAATTCACAATTCGAAAGCGTATCAAATATGATACACTTGAGGTTTGAAGGTGCATGTTTGGCACTATATATACACACATCTTGTAGAAAACGTTGAAAGCGGAGATGTATGAATGCTATTGAAAATTCTCTGCCCTGTGGCGCATAATGTCCGCCACCGGTCTGAATTCATATCCGTCATGGAGGCTTTTGAGGTGAGGAAACATAAAATCGAAAAATAATAGATAAGAAAGGGCTTTTGACCGATCGACCAAGCACGTTGCCACTAGCAACGTTGGATTTAAGGCTTTGAGCTTTCAGATGCCGCGCTGCGGTATCCTACGTATAGAGAGGTAGTACCTTAGGTCGCATTAAAAGCCGCTCTTCGACGCGATCTACTTATCCCGCTAGATCGCGAATGTCAAAATTTGATCGACGATGCGCATTACTTTGCGCGCCAACTCAGTTTAATCCTACTAAATCGTTCAATCTTTCCGCGTTAAAAGCGCTTTCCGGCTTATAATAGCGATAACTGCAATTTTAGCGAGTCATAAAAATCGTATAAATTACTGAAAGAGAGAGAGAGAGAGTTGTGCTATATATAAAAAATATCGTACGAATATATCGTTATGAAGAACTCGATAAAATCATGAAGTGTATGTGCGGCGTGTCAAAGTGTTTGGTCTTGGTAAGAATGTTTTTTTTTTATAAACTCTGTGATGGCATATTTATAGGAACTAGAATTTAAGAGTTTTTCGTATAAATTATACTGGGAAAAAATCGAGACAGCACAAACATTCTTCTTTAATAACGCAATGATATCGACGAAAATATAGCGCATCAATATTTATATGCTTCAAATATAATTGCATTGTGCGGCAATTAAATCCAATGGATGTAACCATTGTTCGTAATATTGGGATCTTTAATTATCATTGACGCTCTTGTACTTCTCGAGTGTCCAATTAAAAGCGGGCTTTTACAAAAAAAGAAAACAGAAAAAATGCAAAACAACGTTTTTCTCTCTTCACATTTGCTATTTTGCATTACTTCCTTCTTGCGGCTTACAACGTTCGCCGCATGTTTCGTTGTAAACTCGTTTGTTGTTGCGAAATTATTCGAGCAACGCGATCGTTTGTTTATCAGTTTATTTCAGTGTTGCACCAGCAAAGTTACACTACAGAGTTTACGTTAATACATATTACGCGATGCGTGTAAAACGATTTCCGTGTAGATCGGTTTATTTTCCTTTTTTATGCAAAATGGTATTCGCGCATAAAAAGAAATGGCTGACCGGATTGTTAAAGAAGCATTAACCTTCGTAATATGAAACTATTTTCCGTTTCATCGATTACCAATGTGGGCACACTGGAAGGCGCCGTACTTCATAAAATTCAGCTTTTCATCACAAAATCCCTTGAACCTCACTAGAGGCATTTCCTTTCGCTGCCTTAAAAGCGCTTTATGTCTCCAAATATTTTATATAAAATGTTTCTGAATGAAAGAATTACATCCCAGAATTACATTTTTATATATACATATGCTAATAATATAATTTGTCATAGCATATCATATTCAACAGGTCAATTAAGAGTTAAATCAAATTTTCATTTTAAATATATATCGAGATAAAAATAAATATATACATTTTTTATTCTCGATAGTTTTTATATTAGGTGAAAAATATTTATACTTTCCTCACAGTAAAAGTAAAACCAAGCCATAATAAAATTCTAACTTATACGAGAATTCCTAATGTTCCCAAGTAGACGATCCCTAAATGATTTATATCACTCGTCCGACAATGGTTTAATTCCTTCATTTATCTCACGATCATTAATCTCCCTTGTCTTATCCATATTTGTCGCAGAGTTTACCGGCGAATTACACTTCTCGAGGAAGCGAGCGAACGGGATAACTTCCGTCGAAAGGGGAAGGTGTCGCAACGACAAACTTTCCACGTGCCTGTTTATGTCTAACTTAAAATTCACCCCCGTCTACCACGATATCCTTTTCTTTGCATAAATATAACGCGCCTTTCTCAGGCGTGTCTCAGGCGGCGATCTCTCGCAAAAAGTTTCGCGGCGTGCCGTCTCTTAGCAACATCCTTTCGTCCTTTTCTTCTCATCGTCGTCTTCTCTCCCTGTTGTGTTTCAACGTGTAATTTACAATATATAGAAAAATATGTCGCACATCGTGACCCACATGGTCCGGAGAGTGTACTCCCAGGTGTGGTTGGTCCCTGGTTCGCTCTAAGCGAGCTTGTCGCTGCTATTTTCTGCGAATATCCACCATCTTTTTCCTCCTCTCTCGCTTCTTTCATCCTTCGAAATTAACATCTTTCATAATTCTTGTCCTAACTGTCTCTATATGTGCTGTTCACCGAAAGCATTATTTGATGAAAGTTACTCCTTCTTGGCTCCGAGCTTTTTACCCTTCTTCGAGTAACTTAGCCGTTTCGTCGAGGTCCCTAAAAGTGTTTTCTTGTTTCATCGCAACGGGAAAAGAATCTAAATAAAACGCGCTCGTATATTCTAGGATCATTGTATTACAGAGTTTCTCTTTGTGTTGTGTTGAACACTTTAAAGGATCAAAGAGCAATAGACATTTTTATAAAGGAGGCGAAAAGACATGTTTAGCAACGAATGTCGTATGCAAATTTTTATTTATATTTATGGTTCAATTTTAGATATGAGTCACATAATACGATTTAGAATTTCTTTATATTAAATGGATATATTTTTCAGTGCTGATAAAGTAGTTCAATTTATTTACAAAATTTTGTCAACGAGAGAAATTTGTTAATCCCAGTATCCGATCGAGAAAAGAACTTTTCGAGTTCCGAGATACTATGAAAAGAATTTGTGAAATAAGAGATCTATAAATCCAAATGTCTAGGAAACGGACGGTCTGCAAAGTCGAAGATCTATAAATTCATGTGTTTGTGCAATAATAGGTCAACGAGATCAATAGATCCGAAGAAGATTAACACTGTACAAAACGTCAAAAAGCAAACTTGCAATACGCGAAACAAACAGGTTTTTGTTTTCAAATTGTTATTTAATTTTTATATGCATATTACGTATATTCATCTCACACGTTTAATTTTGCGAACAAATAACACAGAATAAAATATATTTTATTAATAAAGTCAATTTATTTAATAAAAAAATTTCACGAGTATACACATGATAATTTAATAATTTAAAATCAATAAAAGTCGCCAGTTAATGAAATCAAAAGAAGGTTTATTATATATTGACCACACTGGCAATGATGGTTCATTCCCAGTGTGGTCGATTTATATAATAAACCTTTATTTGATGATAATTTAAATTTATTACTCGTTTAATATATATAATTTAATTAAGCATTTTATTTATAATTATTTAATTTGAAAAATTCTTTTTAAATGTGCAATAATATTATCATATTTTGAATTATTTTATTTGACCGTAACATAATTTTATATTTTAACAAAATTATATATATATATATATTTTTTTTTTAAATTTTAAAATAATTAAAGTAAAATTATTCAAATATACATTGTCGATCAATTATGCTTATCCTGCTTATCTTGCGCTACTGTATATTGATAGGTAGATTTTTTGCAACTCCACGAAGCTCGCGCAAAAATGCAAAGCGTTAATCGATGCAGTTTTCATCGAAGCTTGCTGTTGAATTCTTTAAACTGAGAGAAAAGTAATTTGCTCTATTATGCTGGATATTATTGTTATTCCAGGCAGCTATTCCTTTCTGTTTATTTGACTTTTTTTAAATCTTATCAGATGGGTCATTATTATATGTTAATTTGACAATGCTGAAGAAAAAGATCGCGAGTGACAATCATTCTAATCTCTAACGAACTAGCTTAATGAAAATTGAGAATTATAATTAAAAAATGAAAAATTATATGTCAAGAAATATTTATTCCCTAAGTAGAAAATGTCCAATACGTTATATAATTTGATATTCTTCCATCTAATATTTTCAGCAATTTTCGTAGTCGTTCTATAATCATGAATATTTTTCTTTCTTTCAGCTACCCGATTGAAATCTTTCCCTTGTAAGCATAGACGATTAGATTTCGTGGGATAGTCGTTAATGTACAATGGAGGTCGTTGCGAGAATACAGGATTCAATGGCGAAGCCGTTCCTCGGCGGATGGAGGAACACCGTTACCGGCCTAATTTATCACAATGCCTGCACGCAGACACATGGTACAACAAGGAACAGAATTACACAAACTGTCACGGTTGTGGATGCGGTCACCGACGTCGTTCACGACCAGGCAGTGCAAGTGCACTTTTTGCCGGATGCGCGCGATAAAATCATTACGCCCGGAATTTCCTCCTTTCTAACTCCGAAAACGGTCGAAGAAGCCGGACCATTATCTCGTCAAGATGACAGCAACATTCTCGATAGCATTATTAAAATACAAAAATATTATAGGTAACGCGAATCTCTAAATAATCTTTATAAATGCATATGAAATTTAACATCAGCAATAAATGTCCCGATATACATATAAGTGCGTGTAGTTTTTTAAAACTATTTCTGTAATAAATTTTAAATTTTCCACGCGTTGAAGAATAAAAATAATGTTTATTAATTAAAAAATAAGCGGGGAAAAATAATTTATCTATTCGCGCAGCTAATAAGTATACTCTGCATATCGAGATGAATCCAAATGTAATCAATTATCGACTCGAATCTGTTTACAGGGCTTATCGTGCCAGAGCCTCGGCTAGAGCAAACGCTCTCGAAGCGACTAACATCTCTCGACATGACAAGGCAAACGTGACCGAGCACGCAAGACATTCCCAGGCCCTGTCCGCCTACAGCAGCACGGATTTCGTGATGCTGAATCGCCGTTCGCCGCGAACGAGCTCGGACTTCGAGTCGCTCTACAATCTCCTTGATCGTTGGCGAATTCTCGAGGTTCAACGGACCAGCAGCACGCTCGTCGGCTCCTCGAGAATCGCCGCCTGCGGTCTGATCCTGTCGAAGGAGATTGAGTTGCTGCGCGCGATAGACTCCAAAAAGACCGCCGTCCGGCTCAAGTGCAGGGAACGGAAACAATGCCGACTTCTGGACGAATTATCGAGACCGGTCGCCTGGCAGGACAATCGAGGCCAGTCGATTCTCGTGGACACGCTACGTGTTCAACGAGCCCGTCAGCACAGAAACGTCTATACCTCGCTGGCGAACGAGAATCTATCTGTCCTGGAACGAATTGATCTACTGCGCGATCTAAAACGTGTCATTGACATGCACACGTGCGACCAATCGCAGGAGCTAATTTATCTGATCGATCAAGAACTGGATCTACTGGAGTGTCGAGTGGACACTAGCAGGCTCAACTGGCTCAGAAATCGGCTGAAGCTGAGCTTTCTCAAACTGGCGCGCAACGCTCTGCAAGGTATTTTAATTCTCTCTATTTTTAGTATCAACAATTTTTTATTTTTTATTTCAATTTTTACTTTCTTAAATTTAGATAGAGCAAAATGACATTATGAGCTTTTTATTCAATAACAAGCTACTTAAATAGATTTTAAAAATTATGCTCTTATAATATAAATATTGTTCTTTAAAAACAATTCTTTATTCTTTTCAGACGATCTCGAGGAAGACATGAATAGATTCGGTTGGTCGGACACTAGTATTACGCGGCTCTGCAGGACCTGCGATAGGCTTTTATCCTTGGAAAAGTTTCCCCGCGAACAGCGATTGCGGTCTTCCTCTTGCGTCTACTGCACGTCCATGCGAACTCGAAGAGGTCCTCGCGTCGTGTACGAGATTTATGAGAGGATGTTGCGGAAACTCAGGCGTTTCGAAGCAAAAATGGGCTGTTATAGCAGTCTGGCCTTCGTGGTCGGGGCTAAAATCGTTTGTCGTCTGGTCAATGAAATCTGGCACGGGAGATCTGGCATTTCCGAGTGCGATGATCTCGATCAACTGATGCTGACTCGCTTTCGACGCGAGCTCGAATGGGCGCCTTGGAATTCTCTATTATTAACAAAGAATGAGGCTGCGATTCATCACAGTATCACTGATATCGAAGCTTTTTACGACTCTACGCTTCTGCAGAAGTTTTGCACGAAGAATCTCCAGGCAAAAGTATACTTCGAATCGATTTCTCAGGCGCGAAGAAATATCGTGACACCGTCCTCGATGGAGGATTAATAATAGATTTTATTTCTTTTAATTAATAGATACATCAAATAGAGAGAATAATTTTTTTAAGACAAGAAAAAGAGAATTCGCACAATCTTCAATTTAATTTTAATCTTGCCACGTCGTATCACGTAAGGATATCGTGTTATTACTTTCTTGGAAAAATAAAAAATAGCTGGAAAGTTGACGAAGTTATCGCATTATCGTACTTTTGTTATAGAAGTTTAATTTCCGACATAAAGAACACACCAAGAATATATCGGACTTCCACTTGTGACCCGCGCAATCTTTACCCACCGACAAACATTTCAGAGCCACACAACTGTTTCCGGTGCGAGTATGGTACACGTGTTACCACGACGGTTTCGCGAGAGAGGTTGGCAAGTTGAAGGTATCGTTCTAAGCCAATTACCAAGTTGTAGAGAAACGCGCCCATCTCCGGACGCTGGCCGTTCGTCCTGGCGGAAGTTGGGCGTTGGGGAAATACGTTGAGCTCGCATTATAGTCGGGACATCGTTGTTTCTCGCGTTTTCCCGTGTCGCCTTCAAGACAGGATGTCCTGGTCACGTTGATAGCGCCAGTTAATCGTGTTGCAGTTTATGAGCTAAGTTTTTAAGGGAGAAAGAGCGCAAAGAGTCACATCTCAGTTCGAACATTTAAATGTTGTCCACGTGCGCGAATATCGCTGTAATATATATTTCCCGTCTTCTTTAACTTTCAAGATCAGATCAAAAAGTTACTGCGACATCGAGCTCGATGAACGTGATTAGGATAACAATATCAACGAAGATAACGATAGATGAAAAGTTTTATTAACATGAAAATATTTACATTGAAAATGGACTGTATCTGTAAAAAGAATTGTATTTGATTAGTATTAAGATTGTAAAAAAATAAGCAGCTGCGGGGCAAATAAACAAATTATATTTATATTGCATGTGTACAGAATTATATATGTATATAATAATGCATGCTGGAAAACATGCTGTTATTATTTCTGTATAAAATAAGATATGCAAAATTATTTTGAATTTATAATATCTGATATTATATCATAAATATTCTAAAAATAATAAAAAATATTGGATTAAAGAAATCTGGAAACTATTGTCTTATTGGCGAAATATCGATAAATTGGAAAAGCGACATACGGCTGTGTTAAAAAACAGCTAAGAAATTGCGTCGTATACGAGAAATAAAATGTTATGGAAAAGTCGACGATAAAAACGGTTCCCGTGTAGTAAAAGAAATAATAATGCAAAGATGAAGTGTTTGCGCGACAAGCCATTTCGCGACGGTATCCACGTATGATGATAATTTTTATTTCTTCCCCTCGAGCGACCATGCGTTTCAACCAGTGACAGCAAATGCCTCCCCGGAGTAACGTTTAAAACGAACTTTCTTCATGATAGCTCGGAAGAAATTCAACTCAGATATAAAAGCGTTCGCGTGTTATATGTATGAAAGCTCAAAACGTAGAAAACATGTACAGTTTTTCTTTTAATGCAATTAATAATCAATTTCTTCATAATTTTAGGATCAAGTATATTATTACGTTATGTCACATACTTTTTAAATATTTTTATTATTGAACGGAAGGAAATTTTATTAACATTTTTCCCTATATTTCTAAATTAATGTATTTCGAGTATTTTTTAACACGAGCTTTTATTTTTTGTTTCAATCATTAACGGTAATAATAATCAATTTTATCATAATTTTATAATCTAGTTTTAATCAATATAATATTATGTTATTTATATGTTTTTCCAATATTTTTTATTATCGCCGCTTTTTGTCGAAAAAAGTGTTTTGCATGTTTTATTTACTATAATAATTTAATAAGTAATATGAATGCGTATTGCGCGAATTTATTTAAATCAGTTTCTCGTCATATATTTTTATAATATTATGATATATATTTTATGTAATCATTTGCCATGTATAGAAATCATATTTTTATAATTTTCGTGTAATGTAATATATCAATACGGCGTTTATATTATTATATGATCATCGATGATTTGTTGTTCGCGCGCATGCAAAAATTAGTATATCAAGAGTCGCAAAGAGGGCGTGAATGTCGAATTTCGCGCGCTTTTTCCGCGTTACTTCCCGCCAAGCTGTGCGTCGCCAGCAGCCATTAAAAAATCGACAGGTCGTGTTAAGTGTCGCGTGCTTATTAATTGTATTTAAGTGTGAGTAATACGGGCATAATTCTAATTAATTGTTTTCACAAGTACGCCTCTGATTGTAATGACTTGTTTTTGCTAGTGAGCGACATGGGGAAATGTCAAAACAAAAGGAAAGAAGGAGAAGATTCGGGGCGGCATCAAGTGACGATGGAACATGAGGTAAATCATTTATTATTTGTTATAAAAGGATACAAAAAGCTCTCTTAAATTACAAAATGCGAAAGGACAGGCTAATTAGGAGAAAGACACTCTTAATTAGCCTGTTCTGTCATATTCTTATGTATTTATTTATTATTCGTAAAAAATTAAATAAAGAAAACTTTTAATTCGCATACTAATTACTTTTAGAGAGAGAGAGAGAGAGAGAGAGAGAGAGAGAGAGAGAGGGATAGTAAATATCATTTTTATTCAGCTTTAATTTAAATAAATATATATTTGTGTGTATTTTACAGATTGACGAGATGCATTACGATATGCACTGCGCTATGGAACTCGACTGCTGCGAATTGCATCGGTGAGTTTAAAATATTTTATACTTTAATTAGTGGTTAATGAATTTAAGAAATTAACAAAATATACCAATTAAATGAATAATATAAGAAACGAACTAAAAAATTCAAATTTTTTAAAAGAATTTAAATAAAATATTTTAAATTATTAAATATTATTATAAAATATTTAAATGTAAAGTTGCAAAGATAAATAAATGTAAAAATATAATCTTCTTTGTCATTTATTTTCATAAATATAATTACTACTATAAATTATATTATATAATTATATTAAAAATAATAAAAATTTAAATTAGAATAAATAGTTTTTATTTGTATGTTACAGATCAATGTAGCAACTAAAAAAATCTCAAAACATCTGAAAGTAACAAAAAGAATAGTATCGAATGGAGAAATTTCTAGGTATTTATTAACAATTTATTAGTGCATTGAATTAAAATTTGTTAGCTTACTGCATTTAACCATATTTGTGTTTATTATACAAATTTTGCACGCATTGAATATAAAATTCTGTGTACATAATATTAATTTTTTACATATTAATTATTTTAAGCTCTGTTACATTTTGGATTTAATTTCTATTTTATAGATCAACTTAAGCTGAAGACGTTTTGACGGCAATTTGAGAGGAGGAAGAGGAGGTCTGAGAGAGACATCATGCATCGGCGGAGCAACCCTGGGGTGAGGATATTATTTATATATTATTATTTATTTATTAATTGTAACGATTAAATCAAAATTCATAAATTATAATGTGTTTTAATTATATTTTTGCAAAGTACACGTAAAAAATATACAATTTAATGTATACTTATATAATAGTTTTATGAATAATAGTTTTCTGAAATATTAATTACTATTGATGTTGCTATAATTTGGATTTTATGTGTATGTTATAGATCAACGTAGCTTCAATGCGATAATAACTCCGCTGTTGCTCACCAACCGGTGAGTGAAAAAAAAAACTATTTTATTGTAGAGTATATTGTAGAGATTAATGTAGATGTAGATGTAGATGTAGATGTAGATGTAGATGTAGATGTAGGAATTTTATATATATTTCTAAAAGAAATTATTTTAATATTAACATTATTATTATATTTGTATTAATTATTGTTATAAAATTATTATTACATTTTTAAATATATATATATATATATACAAGAAATTATTATAATATTAAAATTAATATTATTATTATTATTATATTTATATATTTTTATTATGTGTTGCAAAACTCGATAAATAATTAATCAATGCAACCGGCCAATCTCAAAATATAAAATTAATAAAATAACGTAACGTGTGTAGTAAAATTTGCATTAAAAATTCGGAAATATTTTTTAAATTCTCATGCAAATTTTTAATTATTATTCTCTTCATATTTTTTAATCATGATAAAACACTTGCAAAATATCTCTTAGATCTCATGTTATTTCATTCCAATTTTGTAGTTTGTTTAGTGCGGGAGTATCGTCCAAAGTATCGCGCGTTTAGTGCGGGAGTTTCGTCTAAAGTATCGCGTGTTTAGTGCGGGAGTGTCGCTCAAAGTATCGCGTTTCGAAAATTGACAGACTTTAAGAGCGAATGGACAATTCTGATCAATCTGAGAGGACGAACAGGTCAGGCGCCAGTGGAGCAACTCTGAGGTGAGTATTGTAATACTGTATAATATACTTGTTATAAATATTGCGTACACGCGCATGTACATATATAATAAATACATATTTATTTCTCTATTTCTATCTTAGAATGATTTACACCAAAGAGAATTGAAGAAAAATATTTTTGATATATAAGTCTTACAAAAGTTTATATTATAAAAAATATAGTCTTTATATAAAATTTATAGAGTTACTTAATTATACAATACATCTACTGATGACTGTACTGATCAAAAATAAAATTTAACGGGTATAATAATAATTTTAGAAAATATATTAATTATTTAAAACGCTGCTATAATTTGGATGTTATTTATATGTTACAGATCAACGTAGCTTCGATGCAGTTGTAACTCCATTGTTGCGCATCGGCCGGTGAGTGATAAAAGTGATAAGCTATTATTTTATTAGACAACTAATATTTGTAGCACTAACAATAGTACAACTAACAATATTTGTGGTAGAACTAGCAATATTTGTGGTAAAACTAACATTAATATTTATAGAGATTAGATTGTGTATATGTAGATCTGGATCGTAGATTGTAGATAGGTCCTATTCAAAACAAGATATTGACTATATACAATAATTTAAATAATAATTGAAAAAACTCAAATATTATGCGTTGCGATACATAATATAATTACTTAATTTTTTGAAGTTAAAACTTTATAATATAAAGT